AGTATTTATGCAATAATTCAGACACCCACCTGTGCTTTTAACTCGCTTATTATTAGACTAACTAACTAGTAGTAGTTATAACTTATATATATATATATATATTATATATATATATACTAGAAAGCCCGTGGTCACAGGGAGGAAGGTAATAGTATTATTTGGGTCACTGTGTGGGTCACTGTGTGGGTCACTGTGTGGGTCACTGTGAGGGTCACTGTGTGGGTCACTGCGTGGGTCACTGTGTGGGTCACTGTGAGGGTCACTGTGTGGGTCACTGTGTGGGTCACTGTGTGGGTCACTGTGTGGGTCACTGTGTGGGTCACTGTAAGGGTCACTGTGTGGGTCACTGTGTGGGTCACTGTGTGAGTCACTGTGTGGGTCACTGTGTGGGTCACTGTGTGGGTCACTGCGTGGGTCACTGTGTGGGTCACTGTGTGAGTCACTGTGTGGGTCACTGTAAGGGTCACTGTGTGGGTCACTGTGTGGGTCACTGTGTGGGTCACTGTGTGGGTCACTGTGTGGGTCACTGTGTGGGTCACTGTGTGGGTCACTGTGTGGGTCACATGTCCATGCGAATCCCCATGTTTCACAACACAATATCTGCAGTAAGAATAATATGTATGTGGAATGTGGATCTCTCAGGTAAGACCCATATTCATTATTCACGTACCGTCAAAGCAAGTCATTGAGCATTAGCAAGCGCGACCCTAATTTAAATTATCATCATAATTATCATCATAATTATCCAGCGTAATTACCCTTTTTATACAGAGGATAATAGGCGGCTAGCAGGACGACCAATTTATAATTATGTATCCAGATGAATTCTAGTAATTATCATTTTATAATCAAGTAATTAACACGCAAGCTTGAAGCACCGTGTGAAATTAGAGAAGCTGACATTGGGGAACCGGTCAATAAGCCTATGTACGTGTATGAGACCAGGATTCATGAATTATTTTCTTACCCCATGCCTGAGCCCCTAAATTCATTAATGACCACGATTATGCAGCTGTATTACAGGTGTGCATGCCGGTTTAGTTTTCGTCACCGGCGGCGCCGTGTATAAAACGGCACCGGTTTTTTCTGAGAGCGTTTTGTGATCAATCTTCTAAGGCATTTCTTTTGGGGAACTAGGTGCTGGTTTTTTATCTAGCAATCTGTTTTTTCTGAGACATGCAGTATGCACTAGTCTGTACAGTCTTAAGTCAGTCTTGTAGGGAATATCTTAAATTCCAAGTTTGGCATTCTCTGTAAACCTAATATATTTCATTTTGGCTTGGTGTGGTCAGGAGTCTGCTTGCAATATAACTTAAACTCATGAAAATAATTATTTACATAATTATCTACATAATTATCTACATAAATATAAGGTGTTAATTGTTTAAGTGCCCTCGTTCAACTCAGTACCCACAAAAACATGCGTCATTGGGGCCGGGGGGATATAAGTAATAAGTATACTTTTATTATATAGTGTATGCTATTGTTAAGAGATAAATACTTCACGTCATTTTCACTATACTACTACTAGCTTATTAGCCCATCTTGGTCTCCAACATTAGGAATTTAATCGCTACACAATATGATGGGTTTCGCGTTGGATAAAAGATCTGCGTAGGGCCCTATTATATCTGTACAAAGGATAATTAGCTATGTGCTTATAGTCTGTAGTTGTTTCTCCTCTATAATAATATTTGTCTCACACATGACAGCAATGTGTTGATATGTTACTTTGTTGTAATATTATATGGTATATTAGTATAAATATATATGGTATTTTAGAGATATCTTAGTTTTAGTATAACGTTTACGGGACGTAGAATTTAGTATGTGTTTCCGGGTATTATATAATAACCAATGTTTTTATATGTTCGTATTTGGGAGTTACACATTTTGAGTGTAAGTCGGTTGGCTGGCAGAACTACTGTCAGACTAACTGTCTGTAACGAGCCGTCCGCTCACTTTGCACCTGACTTACAGCCAGGCCTGTGGTTGGTCCTCGCGACCACAGGATGACTGTCAGTGGAGTGCTCAGCGTCTAGACAGTGTCTAGACGCTAGTGCAGGCTGGCTGCGTTAGGCCGACACGCGTTGTGGCGTGACGTAAGTTTTGGGAGCATACCCGGAGAGCCGGATGTGGAGAGCTCACTTCTTAGTTGCCCCTTAATCATTTTAAGGGATTCGAATTGACGGTAGCCAGTCTTACTGAGCACTACCATTTGTGATTAGACACGTCGTGTGATCTATTAGTCACGTCAATTGTTTGGAGCGAACACTTGGAAGTTTTATCTGTTGAAGTTCACTTTGTATTACTTTTCCATTTAATTAATTATCCTTTTTAATATACTCGTTTCATTTCTACCTTTCGGTACGCCCTGCCGTTCGTGCTTCGTGACTAGAGCTTGACCAGCATACACTAAATACTAAGAAACTCCGTTTTCTATAACTTAGCAACAAGCCTTAGCAACAAGCCTTTAACAAGCAGGTGCGAAACACACTTGAATGGATCTGGAAACATTGATATTATGTTGCTTAGCAACAATCCTCTATAGTCTATATGTTGCTGGTGTAGAACCTTCTAATAATAACCATGTTCTTTAGCCTAAGTTTGGGGCCAGGGAATTCAATATATTTGGCAACTCAATAATTACTTACGGACCTAATGCCAGGTTTTAAGTGATAACTGGACCCCGGCCCCCATCCCCCTCTCCCACCCCCTGGCCCACACCCCCTCCCACACACCCGCGGCCCCCACCCCCTCGAGATCACGAGATATCTAGTACTATAACTGTTCAGTGTAACAATGGGAACAATGTTTGTTAAACAAGGGAACTTCTAGGTGTCAAGTGACTCATCTGTTTCCACCAAATAGTTACTTCAGTTTCGTTTAATAGCTGCTTAGTTCGTTTGGTCAGGGTGTGGTTATTTAAAAGAACTAAGGACACGATACTTTGTAAATATCGAAATATAAAAGTAAAATATTGGTTAAATATTTAAAGCTTCTCAGCCTTTTAACTTGTTTATATGTTAATTAAAACTAAGTTAAATTATTTAAATGAACTCTGCAGCTTGTGTGATATATTGAACATTATTCCCTTGTAGCTGGTCGTCGTTCTATTATACCTAAAAATGTATGTAATCGCCATATTTTATTATTGTGTTAATAAAGTAGGATTAAATGTTTAAATATACCTACGCCTGTAATTATAACTCAACTTTCCGTTAGCAAAGTTCAGAAATTCTGCAGACCGCAAAGAATGCAGTGATTCAACATTAACAGTTGCTTCAATTAGAATTGACATTTGGCTTAATTATAATTCGCAAGTTTCTTTGTCCATCCTGAATATTATTCCAAGGAAAATGTCTTAAATATGAGCATATCTTTTTTCTAGACACGTGTAATTTAGTTCTTTGGTTGGTTACTTTAAATTTGTGCCTTTTACAATGTTACAAAGGCTACATCAAAAATATCTCTTCAGTTTACTAAATATTGGAACAGCAGGCCTCTGCGGTACATCCGAGTTGGGCTTCAGCCAGATCTATCACCCAATAAATTAATAAATCATTGATTTACAATTTATTCGCTACAACCGTCTACTGGATAGCAATTATCGTGTACATAACAGGACATTGCAGTATCCTCCACTGACACCCGTTATCCATTCGTTAAAATGTAGTTCATAAGTAAGATTTTCACGGTAACACGAGTGTTCACTGTAACCACAGTAAGTCCACCGACCCGACTGGGAGTCGACTAGTATTGAATAAGGCGGGTCAAATCAAAATGGTTAATTTGGAACATTGTTCAGTTTTAGAGCTTACTTATCCCAAACTTCAGCTTACTGACTACTTATCCCGAAACGGTTGAGCTCTTTAACGCATGGCTAGCTTTATTGGGCTAGCTATATTACTATTACTATTACTAATGGGAAAACAATCAGGCTGGAGAAGAAAGATTAAATTGAAAGGAAACCAATTTCATATGTGCTCCTTCATAAAACAATCTGATTCCGAGCAGATTTCATATGAGGAAGCCGACTGAAAACGTCTCTCTAAACTTCGGCAAATAATTTATAATGGCTTTCACTAAATTGTTGAGTTTGGATAACTAAACGTTTCATTATGACAGCTGAGGGAACTTATCGATACCACCAGTATCGCTGACTGTACTATATAGCTTGGCTCTTGGGTCTGGACTTACAAATTTGTAGCACCGAACAACGAATAAGGGTCTGCCCACACTACGCCTCTATTCCCCGAAGGTCTGCCCACACTATGCCATGTGGTGACGGCCACGGGCCACATGGCGTGGGTCAAAAAAACCGGATTCACACAACGAGGCGCGTAGTGTGGGCAGAGCTCCCGCCAGTTGGCGTGGAACTCTCGGGGAATTCTGGCACGGATTTTAAAAACTTAGAACTATAAAGTAATTTTAAATTAAGTTTACTTAAATCAGCCTTATCATTACAAGCACTTTGTCTTAGTTGAACACCTTTTCCTTGCTTGCTTGCCTCCTTTTTAGTAAGATTTTAGTATGCACCGTGTTTCAAACAAAGACCGTACTGTTCACATGATTATTAATGATTGTGCATGATTATCATTGTACAGCACCATTTTAGATATTGTTGCGTTGTTTTTCTCGGAATTCAGTGATTTGTGACCAGTAAAGTTTTGTCAAAACCTGAACTTTGAGGCTGAACTTAAAGGGTCATTTAATATTTAACAAGTAAAGACCTTAATTCGACCTCTCTGAACAATGCGGTCTCTAATGTAAACAGCGTGACTTAAGTAACCGAAAATAGTTCCTTAATAATATTTATGAAATAAATTATTTTGCTTTTGACAAAGCAAATTGGCGCATAATGCAAGCCTTATGATAATGTTTTTTAAAAAGATTAGATAGCAGCGTTGTGTTTACACAAAGTGACAATGTTTTGTGTGACACTATGTTTTCTGTGACACTATCTGTCCTTAAGAACTATAGTAACGTTAACACTAAGCAGTCCCACTAAGCATGATCACCACGTGATGCCCATATAAGGAAGTAAAGGACCTAAGCAGTCCCACTTAGCATGTTCACCACGACACCCCCACCTGAAATGACGATATCGTAGCTGTGATCCGGACATCTGTTCCAGCACAGGATCTAGTTCTACACTACTACACAGTCTCTGAGGACAATGTCACTCAGGATGATGGTGAGTGGCCCGATGTTCCAGCCAATATTTGTTTTAAAATATTATATTATTTTTATCTATCAAATGTCAAAACTCACATAACATGCATTAAATACTGTTGAAAACTATTCAAAATGAAGCTTAAAATAAAGCAAAACTGAGCAAGTGAGCAGATTTAAAGTGGCCTTTAGGATTGGTAAGGTTGTAACCAACTTCTAACAATGCAATTTCTAAAATAGTGCAATTTTTAAGCCCTGGAGAGCTTCACTATGATAACGGAGAGCTTGGAGTTTAGTGAGACTGGGGATGTTGCGGTGGGTTGTGTTGTCATAGTGATGTGTGTCGTCGCGCTGCTAGGTAAGTCTTAACTTATCGCATATTATAGCATATTATCGCATATTATTGCATATTTTATTAAGTCCCAGGCTGATTATACCAGTTACTTAAATTAGTTTACATTTCTATATACTCAGAATTGTGGCCCTTCAAATGTACCCCCCAAAGGTAACGGCCTATCTGTAACCTAGCAACTGTAACCTAGCAACTGTAACCTAGCAACTGTAACCTAGCAACTGTAACCTAGCAACTGTAACCTAGCAACTGTAACCTAGCAACTGTAACCTAGCAACCCCCTCACAGGTAACAGCTTATCTGTAGCGTACTTCTGGGAACAAAGGCGCAAAACAATCTACCCTCTCCTCTACAGCTTCATGAGCATACTCGACATCACCTCATCCCTGGTCTCCCTTCCGGTCATTGTCACACTCTTCAGGTTTATAATATTTTATTACCATTATATTAATTAATTATTAATTAATTAATTATAATAGTATATTACCATTAAGCTCCAAAATTTAATTGGATATTATTTATTCAGATGTATATTTGTTGATTCATTGTCTGATAAATTGGTGATAAACAATAAAATTGTCTTTTCTCTTCAGTTCCCGTGATCCTGTGATGTTTGGTAACGGAGCCTTCTGTCTCATCTGGACCGTTCTGTTTTACTATCTTCTCAGGATTTCAATCTTCCTGGTTCTTCTCATCAGTGTGACTCGGACAATGGGAATGACACTGCCAATGTACAAGACAAAGCAGAGAACTGTGTTGTTGTCACTGGCGGCTTACTCCGCAATCATTCTGATTGTAGACACAGTATATCTGTCCACTGGGATGCTGCGGATGAGGTACCGGGAGAAGGAGGCATTCTGTGAAATGTTCGAACCGGAGGATCTAAAAAAGTACACCACCACAACCTCTATCTATTTCATCTTCATAAAACTGGAGATAATCGTCCCATCAGTTTTAATCATCATTAGTTTTATAGTGGGAACAATGGCGCTAGTGCGGCGGATTAAGTGCTGTAAGAAGATGAAGAAAGATGAGAGCCAGTTTAGGGATGCTTCTGTTACAGTGACCCTCTTTACAGCTACCTACTTGGTGTGTTACCTGCCGTGTTTGTGTTTGGAGGTGCTTTATTTTGTCTCTTTGTTCTGGGATACGAGAACCATCCGGGGGTGATTATTAATATAATTATAATTTATAATAATCGATTATAATTATTAGTATATTCTATTTTATAGTTTTCGTGGTTTATTTTCATCCTTAACTTCAAAGAGCAGGCTTCGAAGCAAAAATTTAAGTTAACTTAAATTTCCGGATATTTTCCTGATCAACTATTATATTGTTAGGCAAATTAACAAAGTTAAACATTTAACAACTTTCTCAGGACACAACAACTTCAAATATTACGCGCATCTGATCACAGTGTTCCTTCTCCCCCTCCTCAACTCCTCACTCAACCCCTGTCTGTATCTCACAAGGATGCCAAAGTATAGGACCTGGAGCTCTAGGATTAGCATTCAGGGGAGGAAATGGAGTTTATTGTCAGCTAAATCAACAACATCGGTTTAGGAAGGTAACACGTGATGCCCATATAAGGAGCTAAATCAACAACATCGGTGTAGCGGAGGATAAGTGAGCAATGCATGAGAAAAGATTGAGAGATAACTGCACACCGTCCCCACCCTTAGAATACCCTCCCCCTGACTTAGTAACCACTAGTAACCAATAGTAACCACTAGTAACCACTAGTAACCACTACCCCCTGACTTAGATCATGGTTGGAGATACGGAGTAGGTGTCATTTTGGAAACTTATTTTCGGATAAATCCTTGATCGCCCGAGATAAGACTTGCTTCTGAAACAACAGAACGAGTGATACAAGCTTAGTACATCATTACTTACCTCTACAAAAAACTATGATATTTTGTGTGCTGATAGAACAATCCTATATCGATTTGAAATGATTAGTTTCCATTTTGCAGATTCAAAATAATGTTTATATTTTTTCTAGAAAATTAATTCCTTTTTGTGCATGTTATTTGACTCGATTGAGAAAGTTTGTTGTGTAATTATTAATATTTGAAAATAACTTTCGTCAGAATTCGGTTTACCCCTTGAAGAAATTTACTGTTCTACTCCGCAGCAAAAAATTCACGAAAAATTGTAAATTTTACTTGCGAAACTAGAGTCACAAATTAATTAAATGTTATATTAAAAAATCAATCAAGTAACTTTTAATCATTATCTATTATTAAATTAAAATTAAATAAACTCACCGGTTCCCGGGGGTCCGAACAGGAGAACACCTTTGGGAGGGTCAATACCAAGATTAACAAACTTTTCCGGGTGTAAAAGGGGAGTCTCCACCACCTGGGAGTTACATGTTACATGTTACATGTTACATGTTACATGTTACATGTTACATGTTACATGTTACATGTTACATGTTAAATGTTACATGTTACATGTTAAATGTTAAATGTTAAATGTTAAATGTTACATGTTTCAGAACTGAATGTGACTCTTAAGTTACATGATATGATGTAGTAGACTAATAGAGTCGAATATTTCTGGACAAGTGCCAAGTGATCTAAAATTAGTTTTTTTAACAACTAGACGGCAGTCAGTCAATAACATTTGTTCAGCCAATTACCATTGTATATGGTTATTAGCTATCAGTAAATGACCATAAACGGTTAGTTGTATAAAAACAAACAATTACCTCTCTAAGTTTCTCAATCTGTTCCTTACATCCACCCACGTCATTGTAAGTCACATCCGGTTTCTCTTCCACCTGTTCGGAACATGTTGTTTTATGAAACTCGAAAACCATCAGGAAAATAGTGGGGGTCCTAATTTTCATAGTTTGAGAAAGGAAACAGCACTGCCGTGATGATGATCGTATAGGGTAACATTGGAAGTTACGTGCTTATTGTCCGAGAGTTAGGATTAGAATGCAATGCTTGTTCTAATTTTCAAATTGTTTAATTTTAGGAACATTCCAACTATAACATGATCATTGATTTCGGATCAAACTCGAATTTGCAATCATCAGATGCATTTCAAATCCTTCGAGAAGAATAAATAATCTAAAAAGGCACACCATGTTATTGTACATTAAAGAAGTCAAGTTAAAGAAGTCACATACTTTTAGAAAGCAAAGCAGTGCTACAAGAAAATACCTGATTGTTTCTGAATAGACTCAGTGAAGACAGAATCTAATGGAAATATAATCTGTCTTCACTGCATCTATTCAGAAACAAATAGAAATTTGAATGAAAAACTATCAAATCATGAGACTTAATAACACTACACGAATCCACCAGATTACGCAAAGCAGTGCTACAAGAAAATACCTGCATCATAGTAACTGTAGGATCAATCTTGGGCGGCAGAGGAATGTGAATCTGGTACTTGTTCCTATCTACCCCTACTCGCATTCCCTCCTCAATATCCGTGGGGGCTACTCTGTCTCCTAGATCTACCACGAACTTAGCAAACTGCTTGACATTTATTATGTACTTGGCGTCTTCTCCTTCTGCGTTTATTATCTTTGTGCACCTGGCTACCTGTGTAGGCGAGGTTTAATGTTGCGGGGGTATTGATTGGGTGCGAGATTTAGCGAGGCTTAATGTTGAGGCAGCCACTATATTAACGAAAATCTACAAGTAATAGAGTAAGAACTTCTATCGAGTTAATCTAGAATGTAATTAAGACAATGGAAGTTTTCCAACAATATCTCGACAACTTAAGCAGTACAGAAGTAAAAATGAAAACGTAGACTGTAGAGTGAGAATTATTTTCCAAAATATATAGAGCCGCAAACAGAGTGGCAAGCAAGTTTGAAAATAGAGCATCTTAATAACAAGCTACGCGTTGGTTAGATCAGAAACACACAAACAAGTTATCATATATCTCACTATAACTTAAACTACTAATTTAAATCACAGAATTGGGGGGGGGGGGGGGGCCAACCATATTAAAGTATACTAAAATGTAGGATTTTTCCCGATTTTGACCCGGGGATATACTTTAATATACTTTAATATACCTACAATATACTTTAATATATCCCTACCTCCTTGGAGGCCTACATCAAAAATTGTTGCCCAAAATAAGCTTGCAATGCAATTCTTAATCGATTCCAAAAAGTTCTTGAAAAAATATTGAAAACTGATGGAGTTATTTCAATTTTAATGAAGTAATTTTGGCTAGTATTCCGAACCGAGATATTATGTGCAATTTTCCCAATTTTGTTCATGGAGGTCTTTTTACTTAGTATCCACTATATTCAACAAACACTGAGTTATATCTTTCACATAGAGTTAGTCTCATTAAAAAATATTGAAATTTTATCGAATTTGGGCAAAAGCGAATTTGAGCAAAAGCGTATGCCCAAATATGGGCATATTTTTTAAGCTCATAGCTCAGCCAATTTTTGACCAATCTGGATGGAAATTCATGTACTAGTCCTAAAACAGGCTTATCTTGCGAATCTGAGTGAAAAATATAGTTCATCATGTAAATCTTAACGAAGAATATAAATCTTCTAATTGTAGGTATATTAAAGTATATTAAAATGTAGGATTTTTTCCGATTTTGACCCGGGGATATACTTTAATATACTTTAATATGGTTGCCCCCCCCCCCCCCCCCCCCCCAGAATTTATATCACAGAATGTAAATCACAGAATTAAATCAGTTTAACAGATTGTTAGTTGTTATTTACTAGCTGTAATGCTGCTGAGATGGGTGTAGGGATACCATGTCATACCAAAATATATTTCACGTTCTTAAACTGGGCCGCAGACTTAAAATCATGAGCTTATTATATATATATATAATAATATCAGAATTAAATTTACAGGGCAATTGGCATTATGTTATTATCAAGTTATTCAATTATTTAAAGATGCTTCTCAAGCTGTGGGAGGGGGGGGGGGGGCAGCTGTAAAGTGTAAAGGAAGTTTAAATCAAGTCAGTGAACTATTAAAAACTACTATATTTAGGCCCTCAGGCCTAAGTATAGATTGCTATTGCAAACGTATGTAAGACTATGAGATATGTATAAGTTAAGCAGTATATTCCAAGGCCTTTATAAATCCAACAAATTCTAGGGGACCTGCAAAGCTTTAAAAACCATTGTACCTACTGTACCTACAGACTACAGAGGCTTAGATATAACAATGAATCAGGCACATGAACAGCTTTAAGAATGATTAATTAATTAATTAATTAATTAATCAATTAAGAGTAGCTGGGTTACCTGAAGAGGTTGTTCTCCCTGGAGGGTCTGTTTGTCTGCCGCTAAATCCCACATACCAGGGTTAGCTAGTCCTGTATCTGACTCTTTAATACCTGCAGAGTGTAACATTTAGAGAAACCAGGGTTAGCTAGTCCTGTATCTGACTCCTTAATACCTGCAGAGTGTAACATTTAGAGAAACCAGGGTTAGCTAGTCCTGTATCTGACTCCTTAATACCTGCAGAGTGTAACATTTAGAGAAACCAGGGTTAGCTAGTCCTGTATCTGACTCCTTAATACCTGCAGAGTGTAACATTTAGAGAAACCAGGGTTAGCTAGTCCTGTATCTGACTCCTTAATACCTGCAGAGTGTAACATTTAGAGAAACCAGGGTTTGCTAGTCATGTATCTGACTCCTTAATACCTGCAGAGTGTAACATTTAGAGAAACCAGGGTTAGCTAGTCCTGTATCTGACTCCTTAATACCTGCAGAGAGTAACATTTAGAGAAACCAGGGTTAGCTAGTCCTGTATCTGACTCCTTAATACCTGCAGAGTGTAACATTTAGAGAAACCAGGGTTAGCTAGTCCTGTATCTGACTCCTTAATACCTGCAGAGTGTGTAACATTTAGAGAAACCAGGGTTTGCTAGTCCTGTATCTGACTCCTTAATACCTGCAGAGTGTAACATTTAGAGAAACCAGGGTTAGCTAGTCCTGTATCTGACTCCTTAATACCTGCAGAGTGTAACATTTAGAGAAACCAGGGTTAGCTAGTCCTGTATCTGACTCCTTAATACCTGCAGAGTGTAACATTTAGAGAAACCAGGGTTAGCTAGTCCTGTATCTGACTCCTTAATACCTGCAGAGTGTAACATTTAGAGAAACCAGGGTTTGCTAGTCCTGTATCTGACTCCTTAATACCTGCAGAGTGTAACATTTAGAGAAACCAGGGTTAGCTAGTCCTGTATCTGACTCCTTAATACCTGCAGAGTGTGTAACATTTAGAGAAACCAGGGTTTGCTAGTCCTGTATCTGACTCCTTAATACCTGCAGAGTGTAACATTTAGAGAAACCAGGGTTAGCTAGTCCTGTATCTGACTCCTTAATACCTGCAGAGTGTAACATTTAGAGAAACCAGGGTTAGCTAGTCCTGTATCTGACTCCTTAATACCTGCAGAGTGTAACATTTAGAGAAACCAGGGTTAGCTAGTCCTGTATCTGACTCCTTAATACCTGCAGAGTGTAACATTTAGAGAAACCAGGGTTTGCTAGTCCTGTATCTGACTCCTTAATACCTGCAGAGTGTAACATTTAGAGAAACCAGGGTTAGCTAGTCCTGTATCTGACTCCTTAATACCTGCAGAGTGTAACATTTAAAGAAACCAGGGTTAGCTAGTCCTGTATCTGACTCCTTAATACCTGCAGAGTGTAACATTTAGAGAAACCAGGGTTTGCTAGTCCTGTATCTGACTCCTTAATACCTGCAGAGTGTAACATTTAGAGAAACCAGGGTTAGCTAGTCCTGTATCTGACTCCTTAATACCTGCAGAGTGTAACATTTAGAGAAACCAGGGTTAGCTAGTCCTGTATCTGACTCCTTAATACCTGCAGAGAGTGTAACATTTAGAGAAACCAGGGTTAGCTAGTCCTGTATCTGACTCCTTAATACCTGCAGAGTGTAACATTTAGAGAAACCAGGGTTAGCTAGTCCTGTATCTGACTCCTTAATACCTGCAGAGAGTAATATTTAGAGAAACCAGGGTTAGCTAGTCCTGTATCTGACTCCTTAATACCTGCAGAGTGTAACATTTAGAGAAACCAGGGTTAGCTAGTCCTGTATCTGACTCCTTAATACCTGCAGAGTGTAACATTTAGAGAAACCAGGGTTAGCTAGTCCTGTATCTGACTCCTTAATACCTGCAGAGTGTAACATTTAGAGAAACCAGGGTTAGCTAGTCCTGTATCTGACTCCTTAATACCTGCAGAGTGTAACATTTAGAGAAACCAGGGTTAGCTAGTCCTGTATCTGACTCCGTAATACCTGCAGAGTGTAACATTTAGAGAAACCAGGGTTTGCTAGTCCTGTATCTGACTCCTTAATACCTGCAGAGAGTGTAACATTTAGAGAAACCAGGGTTAGCTAGTCCTGTATCTGACTCCTTAATACCTGCAGAGAGTGTAACATTTAGAGAAACCAGGGTTAGCTAGTCCTGTATCTGACTCCTTAATACCTGCAGAGTGTAACATTTAGAGAAACCAGGGTTAGCTAGTCCTGTATCTGACTCCTTAATACCTGCAGAGTGTAACATTTAGAGAAACCAGGGTTAGCTAGTCCTGTATCTGACTCCTTAATACCTGCAGAGTGTAACATTTAGAGAAACCAGGGTTAGCTAGTCCTGTATCTGACTCCTTAATACCTGCAGAGAGTAACATTTAGAGAAACCAGGGTTAGCTAGTCCTGTATCTGACTCCTTAATACCTGCAGAGTGTAACATTTAGAGAAACCAGGGTTTGCTAGTCCTGTATCTGACTCCTTAATACCTGCAGAGTAGCCCGGTTCATAAAACAAAAATATTATCCAATAATTGCGGCAATAGGCTTATCTGTTGTTCCTTAGGCCAAATAACTACCAAAAAAATTTTGAAGCTTCAACTCCAACCGGAAACACCCCCACATGCCACGCCCATTTTTTTCATCAATTTTTAACAGGTAAAAATCTTCATATCATCAATTTAGGCATGAAGGAATGCTTTTAGTGCTCCAACAGTTTGGGGTCTAATAGTAATGGTAGAAAAAGGTTAACTTTAGTCAAAGTCTCAAGTCTCCACGGCGCTTGGTTTAGGCGCACCGGATCTCGCGTCTCGCCTCTGCTGCGTGATTGGTAGCGCCAGAACTAAAGGTCGTAGATACATGAGACTTCAACTAAAGTTAACCTTTTCCTACCATTTACATTAGAGTAGCACAGATTCAGAGCTCTAAACACATTCCTTCATCCTTAAAACGACAATCATATGAATTTTGCCTGTAAAAATTGATATCTTGATGTCAATTAACATCGTAAGCTTTTGAAACTAAATTAATTAAATGAGTCATAATACTTCACACAATATTTACACACAATATGAAAATATAAATACAGGAAGTCTCTTTGATTCGACATTGAACTTTTCTCGGTCCCTGCACTGGAAAGTGGAACTGATCCTTTAAAGAGGTCAGCAGGTTCTAATTTAGGTACCCTGGTTTTCGAATCGCCATGTCTTCACAAGCAAGCTGTCTAATCTTCGTTGCCAAAAGGAATTTTGTTGCCAGAGGAATATTTTCGTCAAACTAGGATTTAAATGAGGTCCTTATTTCCTTATAACTCGTCACCTATAGGATCAGCATTGATGAGGTTCAATAATTCCTTCATAGCTCGTCACTGACAGGATCATTATTAATGAGATCCAATGCTTCCTTCATAGCTCGTCACTGACAGGGTCACCGATCACTATTAATAAGGTCTGATGATTTCTTCGTGACTAACGAGGTACAGTAATCTCTTACTGATACGTCAAGACCAAGTTAAGTAAATAACTATAAATATCCAAGCATTAGCTAACAAAATAGCATCTGGTTCTAATTCCTTTACCAAGTTATCAGTAATGGATCTAAAATCTAAATGAATCTCTTCTGTAAACTGATTTTCTTGAAGCTGAAGGACTGATTCCCTCTCCAAGATGGGGGAATATTTGTTAAATTCTTGTAGGATTCATGAAGAGGGGAAACTCTCCACGGTATGCTTGCGTTCTTCTGTAGGATGATGCCATAGCTGGCATATTCCCAATACTCGACCAGCTCGTTCTCGACAGTGACAACAGCAGTATATAAATTCACAAACTGCTCATTCATAAACATTAGTCTCCGGAATGCGACTTCATTGTAAGAGAGCTTGGAAGAGGGCGAATTCCCCCAGTAATGTTTGTTTTCGCTAGCATTGTAATGCAAGAAATTTTGCAACACAATGCAACCAACGAAGTTTCAACTGAAAAGATTCATAATATGATTGTTGGATTATTAATAAAAGACTGTTATTACCTCTGACAGTTCCAGGGTGTGGAGACGTGGAATCCAAGAAAGACTTCCTGTATTTATATTTTCATATTGTGTGTAAATATTGTGTGAAGTAATATGATTCATTTAATTAATTTAGTTTCAAAAGCTTACGATGTTAATTGACATCAAGATATCAACTTTTACAGGCAAAATTCATATGATTGTCGTTTTAAGGATGAAGGAATGTGTTAAGAGCTCTGAATCTGTGCTACTCTAATATAAATGGTAGGAAAAGGTTAACTTTAGTTGAAGTCTCATGTCTCTACGACCTTTAGTTCTGGGGCTACCAATCACGCAGCGGAGGCGGAGACGCGAGATCCGGTGCGCCTAAACCAAGCGCCGTGGAGACTTGAGACTTTGACTAAAGTTAACCTTTTTCTACCATTACTATTAGACCCCAAACTGTTGGAGCACTAAAAGCACTCCTTCATGCCTAAATTGATGATATGAAGATTTTTACCTGTTAAAAATTGATGAAAAAAATGGGCGTGGCATGTGGGGGTGTTTCCGGTTGGAGTTGAAGCTTCCAAATTTTTTTGGTAGTTATTTGGCCTAAGGAACAACAGATAAGCCTATTGCCGCAATTATTGGATAATATTTTTGTTTTATGAACCGGGCTACTGCAGAGTGTAACATTTAGAGAAACCAGGGTTAGCTAGTCCTGTATCTGACTCCTTAATACCTGCAGAGTGTAACATTTAGAGAAACCAGGGTTAGCTAGTCCTGTATCTGACTCCTTAATACCTGCAGAGTGTAACATTTAGAGAAACCAGGGTTAGCTAGTCCTGTATCTGACTCCTTAATACCTGCAGAGTGTAACATTTAGAGAAACCAGGGTTTGCTAGTCCTGTATCTGACTCCTTAATACCTGCAGAGTGTAACATTTAGAGAAACCAGGGTTAGCTAGTCCTGTATCTGACTCCTTAATACCTGCAGAGTGTAACATTTAGAGAAACCAGGGTTTGCTAGTCCTGTATCTGACTCCTTAATACCTGCAGAGTGTAACATTTAGAGAAACCAGGGTTAGCTAGTCCTGTATCTGACTCCTTAATACCTGCAGAGTGTAACATTTAGAGAAACCAGGGTTAGCTAGTCCTGTATCTGACTCCTTAATACCTGCAGAGTGTAACATTTAGAGAAACCGACCGATGTTTGTAGTCAAATTTATTAGAGAAAAATGTTACCAGACATATACCAAAGCCAATAAGCCATAGTCGAGACGATTAGGTAATATTAATTTAGCACGAGCAGTAATTATTTTATCGAAAGGCTCTAGTTCCAAATTCTAAAATGCCATTCACAAATACTGTTTCTCTGGATAAACCACAATTAACGGCACTATAGCAAGCAATATTGTTGTGTCACAGCATAATAATTGTAGAAGGGAAAATATCCGGTAGTAGAGACTAGGTAGGAAAAGTGAAACTACTGTTTAGGACTCCTAAACAGTAGTTTCACTTTTCCTACATAGTCTTTACTACCGGATATCATCCCTGGAATCATTATCTTATCATGAGACTGATAAACAGCGAACCTCTCCAGAATCTCATACAGCATAATAATTGTAGAAGGGAAAATAGCAGATGTATCTTACCGATGAGCTCGTTGACTTTCTTCACATGGGACTGAATATCTGCTTCTACTTGTTTTATCTGGTTTGTGTATGGTCCCACACCGTATGTTTTTAGGAGGGCTATGTCTCCCGCATCAAGAGCTAGAATAGGGGACTTGTTAGTAAAAGTAAAGTATAGTAAAAATTATGACATAACATCATCACACATGTATCACAAAGTATCAAATCACTATATTAGTGGGGTGGTCAATAATTATAACGTCGTGGCAAGTTGATGTGGCGTCTTAAGACCATTTTCGAAGATCTTAACATTTTTCAATATTTAGATGTTAATTATCACAATGAAGAGAAGTGGTATGTATACCGATTTCAAACCAATTCTAGAATATTCTAAAGGAGTTGTGAAGTGCTCTACTCACTCTGAATTGGTTTCTCTTCCTCGGGCTCATCCTTAACCTTCCTCATGTCGGACCCCAAATGATCAGGCATGTTGGTATCTGGTTATAAAAGCTACTGGGGTAGCTTGTGTCCAGCTATTCTAACTTGGACTTGGGGCTATCGGAGATTTTGTTATTAAATAGGGAGTTCGATACACGACACATGTTTCGGAGACATAATAATACTTTTAAACAGATGATTTTATCAAGCAATGCTCGTAGACTTGTTGAACTATAAATTTGAACGGTAGTTGAACTACCGGTAAACGAATTGAACTTCATTGTTCATGCGAGATCGCAGACAAAGATGAATGAATTTACAAAATTAGCGCCGCGCCGCGCGCGTCAATTCAGTTACAGTAACTGCTAAAAAAGTGCATTTTGTATTATATTTGCACAAAACTTAGTATGGTTAGCGCTTTTGACGCGCACGTACTCCGCGCACTTCACATTCGGATCATGTGACCATCGTGACGTATTTACTCCTGTGTAACGCAATAGTCATGTAAGCAATTAAACTGTTAAGTTATTAAAATGATTCTTGGCAAGAAACTGCTAGAAAATGGGCTGAACAAATCGTAACGATTTCGAGAAAACTCTGGACAGGCACTCTGTTAACCAACAAATGTTTGGAAAACGTTAAACAGGAAGCATGTTTTGTGGAGTGCGTGATTTAAAAAAAATTATGTTGGCTAGTATGTGATTTTAGGAGAAGTACCTGATTTTATATGTATCTATATACATATTATATGTGAGTATGATAAACCATTTACTACCTTTTTCAACAAACCGTCGAGAAAAGAATGTTAGGAATGGATATCATGGTGTTGTCGGATCCTCGGTAATGTGACATTTTTTTTTTTTTTTTTTTTTTTTTTTAGAGAGGCTGGGCCTGGTTGGCCCACGAGAGGATAGCATATGAATGCTTTGCCTACCTCTGGGGTATGGCAGTCCTGTGGGAGGATGCCAGTGGAATCAAGATGTGTAATCAAGGATGATGGTAAGTGTTGTGGGGTGTGTCATGGATAAACGCTTAAGTGGTGGTTGAGTGTGGAAGAGAGAGGCGAAATAAGACGGCGTTAAAATAGTCGCTATGTTACACCTGTCTGGTCCAACTCCTCTGGCACCACTAAGCGTTTAGTGTGGTTTGTAAAGTTGACAATGGTGGAGATGTGTTGGTTGTCGAATATGTCATTGACAGAGAGGTAGTAGTCCCGGAAATATTGACCTCTTATTTGGGCAATAGCCGGGCACTGTCCGAGAAAGTGTGAGACAGTCTCCTCTTCGTCGCCGCATTTAGGACAAGCACTTGTGTCTGATTTGCGAATGGTGTGTAGGTGTTTGTTGAGGCCACAATGTCCCGTGATGAGGTGCACTGCAGTTCTATAATTTTGTCTGTTGTTACTGAGTGTAGTGTTGAGATTTTTGATGATGTTGATGTTTTTATGTCCAAGTGTCAGTTTAGTGTGTCTGGGACCATCAGTAATCCATGATTCTTGATTAATTCTTGGTAATGTGACATGCTAAGGAAATAAATGGTTAATTCAGGTAGTGGTAAAATTCAGATTTTTAAAAATCATTGAAGAATACTTTGCCGATACTCAATCATACACGATAAAGTAATAAGTTTCTTAAACGAAAATAATTTCACATAACTGCAAAGATTTTTGTCGATTAACCTAAAATTTGTTAGGACAAGAAGAAAATTCAGTGAACTAATGAAATGTATATAAACTTAATAAACGTAATAAACGGTTGTAAATAAGCAAACACAGCCGCTAATTTTACTCTTTCTAAAACACGTGATATACATCAAATAAACATCGTATAGAATAAACCTCAATTTGATAGATCTCGTTACTTGTGGTCAGATGGTGACGTTTGTCTGTGACACGTGACAGTGTGGCATGACGTCATGTCACGTGGCATGACGTCATGTCACGTGACAGTGTGCTTCTAATCGAAACACAGATTCAACGTCACGTGTCCAAATAAACTTCCCATCCAGAATCCACGTCTATAATCTTAATTTACAGTAATAAAAGCTCATCGCATTTGTGGATTAAAGTTTACATTAAAAGAAAATCATTATCTACGAAGAGGGAAAATCAAGTGAATTAAAGTGACATGCGATGCAGACATTATCAATGATGCTGTAAGGAAAGAGATATTTATTTAGATAATTTAAGTTTATAGCTTTATAGATGTATCCAATTATATCTCAAATCTGCTGTGGTTACTATGTAGTTACTATGTAGTTACTATGTAGTTACTATGTAGTTACTATGTAGTTACTATGTAGTTACTATGTAGTTACTATGTAGTTACTATGTAGTTACTATGTAGTTACTATGTAGTTACTATGTAGTTACTATGTAGTTACTATGTAGTTACTATGTAGTTACTATGTAGTTACTATGTAGTTACTATGTAGTTACTATGTAGTTACTATGTAGTTACTATGTAGTTACTATGTAGTTACTATGTAGTTACTATGTGGTTATAATGTTATCTGTGATGAAAAGCTTATTCAAATATAAGTTGAGAAATTTGATAATTTAGATTTAAACACGTATATTATATAACAAACATCATACACGACTTCAGCAAGAAAACAATTCTGACAATTAAATCTAACCCAGGTTTCAAGAAAATACTTTGTTTTTGTTACCATGGTTACTATTAGTTACCATATAGGGTACTATTCATTTCATAAACTGATCCATGCACGAACAACTCGAGTTAACTCCTCTTTTCATATCAGCTCTGAGAAAACTGAGATTCTAACAATGAAAAGTCTGAATTCCTCAACTGTACTAAAGACAGAATAAGGTACAACATGTAAACTCAGTGGTACAATATCTCTTACTGATGTTTTCCCAACTGTTCCTATCACTGTGGCGTGACGTCATGTCACGTGGTGTGACGTCATATCACTGTGGCGCTCGACCTCTTCTCGAAGCTTTCTGTCTTTCAAACCTGCTCTCCATCTCTTCTAAAACTTTCGGTGTGTATTTCACTACAAGTCTTACTTTACCTGGGAACAATGGATAGTTAATCAGGACATGTGGTGTGACATCATATCACGTGGAGTGACGTCATATCACGTGGATTGACGTCATATCACGTGGAGCAGTTTGTGGTAATCGGGGTTTTACCACAAACTGAATGTAAGACGAAATATATAAATATAAGACGAAATAGCGAACCTTGAGCGTTTTTGAGCAGATCAACAGCTGTTTCATGAGAAGCCTTCTCCACACTTTGTCCATTAACTGATAACAACTGATCACCTCGTCGCAGGTTAGCATCCCTGTAATTAGGTAATGTTAATTTAGATAAGCATCCCTGTAATTAGGTAATGGTCATTAGAGGAAACTGACTGCGGATTTGGTTGTTGATCAAGTTAAGGGTCAGTAAAAACGGAGAAAAATAATAAATACTAAAACTTAATATACAAACATTACCATTGAACATATATATACATTGTCATTAACTAATTGGTTAGTTAACTTATAAATTAATTGAATAATGTAACTTACTTGTGAGCAGCACCCCCTGGGATAATACGGGAAATGTAAATTGGAGAAGCTTGTTCCTTTCCGCCCATTACGTTAAATCCTAAACCTTCCTCAGTCTGAAACAAGATAAGAGGAGATAAGATAAGAGGAGATAAGATAAGAGGAGATAAGATAAGAGGGGATAGGATAAGTTACGAGGGGATAAGATAAGAGGGGATAAGATAAAAGGGTATAAGATAAGAGGGGATAAGATAAAAGGAGATAAGATAAGAGGAGATAAGATAAGATAAGATAAGAGAGGATAAGATAAGAGGAGATAAGATAAGAGGGGATAAGATAAGAGGAGATAAGATAAGAGGGGATAAGATAAGATGAGATAAGATAAGAGGGGATAAGATAAGAGGTGATAAGATAAGAGGGGATTCAAGATAAAAGGAGATAAGATAAGAGGAGATAAGATAAGAGGGGATAAGATAAGAGGGGATAAGATAAGAGGGGATAAGATAAGAGGGGATAAGATAAGAGGGGATAAGATAAGAGGGGATAAGATAAGAGGGGATAAGATAAGAGGGGATAAGATAAGAGGGGATAAGATAAGAGGGGATAAGATAAGAGGGGATAAGATAAGAGGGGATAAGATAAGAGGGGATAAGATAAGAGGAGATAAGATAAGAGGATGTAGGAAACCAGAAACTATCCAGTGAAAACTCGAACAGACTACTGCAACTGTTCGTCGTTCGAGTGTTTATTTGTTTAAGCATTTAACAAATCAACAGAGTTAGGTTCTTTTTTATCGGAGCACATCACAAGATTCAAGAGCAAAACATTCTAAAAAGTCTACAGAGATGTTTACCAATAACAACCACTAGCAACCACTAACAACCACTAACTGATAGCAGTAAAATACCTTGGGTAGCTCAATAACTCTAGGATGGGCATGTCCCTCTGAAGCAGCAAAAGCTGCAACTGTTGCTTTAGCCGCAGCCTCTGCTCGGATCTCTGGGGGGTGATTTATATCCACTGTTTCGTGCACCTGAAGTAATTAATTAATTATTGATTAATTTATCACCTGACATGATTAATTAGTCAATAATTTCAATCATTTTAATAATTTCTTATTGACCTTTTGTTTAAGATTAGATGATGACAATAGTCAAGTAAAGGCATTCAGGAACGAGAGAAGTTTCTGCACAAAACAAAATCTGAGCAAGCCCAAATTTATAACATAAAGGCACACACTGATCTATATTATGTACATTATACATAATATGATACATAATTATAACATAATATGATACATAATTATAACATAATATAATACATAATTATAACATAAACCCAATTATCACCTGCTCGTAAACCTCTCTGACGGCCCTACAGAAGTCACTCTTCAGCACATTCTTCATAGCAGCTAGTTTAGAGGCAGGTATCTCTCCACTCTGTTCCAGAGTCTCCATCAGCTCTATCGCTCGGCGGATATCTCGCTCTAATGTCAACGGAGCCATGTTTTACCTAGTACAGATGATGGATTACAGTGACATGGTGTCACACCACGTGACATGACGTCACACCACGTGACATGACGTCACACCACGTGATATGACGTCAGCACAAGTGAGAAAAAGTGAGCACAAGATATCAGGGTTAAAGTATTTTCTTTATAATATGTAATTCATAACAGATCAAAGTTTTGTGATGGAACTTTATTTTAATCTGTCTAACAAGTAAACAAGATTCGGGAACTTTAAATCAAGAAATCTAGAAACAGCAACAATAAGAAATGAAACGAGGGGTGTAATGAAAATCATTATAAATGACGGGTTACAAAATTAACTGAATCGAATAAATTAAAAGACTAAAGAATGCGTATCGTACGCTTATTAGGAGTATACTGTGTATCCTGTAAACGAATACATGACAACTGTAAATTCTGAAATTAATTAAGAGAACTATTCGAGATCAGATTTCACTAACTTGATAGTTCTATAATGGCATACTGACAGCTTTTAAAGAGCTTCTATCACTATATATTTCTAATCTGTACCTTTGCTCGTCACATCGAGACACAGCATATTACATGAGTTCCAATACTCAATAAATTTGTTTTCTAAGAGGGGCCAAATAAAGGTAAAAACACATTAACGTCACTATAAAGATCACGTTCCTCGGAGATCATGTAAACAATTGAGAAGAGTTGCGTTACAACCAGCGAGATATGATACAAGAGGTGTGAGGGAGGGTCTGTCTATATTACAATAACATGTACCAAATCTCTAAAAACACTAATATTAATATACAGGGGGCCACTATCAGGAGAAGTCAACTTCTGGGTTCTGAGTTAACGAGTCCACGCTTGAGTCTATATACTCGATACTCGAGTCGATGAACTTTTCAGCATCTGTAATACTTGAGTCGATGAACTTTTCAGCATCTGTAATACTCGAGTCGATGGATTTTCGGGTGTCCGACGCAAAAAAGTCTACTGTCCGAAGTGTTTCTGAAGAGATTTCGTCTATTGCAGAGAATGCTGTGAGCATTTCCTCCTCCACCTTCTGTGTTATCGACTCCATTGCCTGATAAATTGGTTCATACCATCAAATTGATAATATTATAATCTATATTAGTGATCAGCTATCAATGAATCAAATTAAAGTTTTTCAAGCTAGTTGTGATGATTTTTATTTGTTTTAAGTATTTCAAGTGTAAGTGTAAGTAGTGCAAGAAACTCCAGAATTTGTATGAAATGAGAAATGGGAATGAGCAATATGATGGATAAAATCTGAACAAATTATTACAAAACTACAGTGTATTATTAAGAAAATACAGTCGCCGTTATCAGATCGTTAAAAAGTTAAATCTCTTGGTCTCAAATTTAGTGATCCAATAATTGTCAGTCGAGTGTCGACTTATAAATGCCAAATATGCGTACAAATATAATTTTAGGTTTTAAATCATCATACATCAGGTTTATTGCGGCTGTAAAACTCGAGAAATTAAAAATAAATAAAAAACAATCGTATTCAGAAGTTAAATTAATCAGGTTTAATACTAGATAATTTGTTTTTGATAATTGTGTGACTGGTGATGTTGGTGAGGTGAGGGTTGGTTTCCTTTCTCAAATCCTCCTTTTTCTCTCTCTCGGTGTTTATAGTTTGTATGATTGATTCTAAAGCCTGGTGTTATGGTTTATTTGTAGATTGGTGACATGAAAATTCAACAATAATGAATTATAAAACAATGGATTGCAACTAGAAACACTGTACGTTTTAATAACGTACCTTAAGTCCTTCTCGAGCAGCGTCAGTCATGGTACCAACCAACCAATTCTCAGCAGCATCGTCCACTAATCGAGACACGCTAAATAAGAACTTAGCTGCGTGGTCTAGGTGAGTTGTTTCTCCAACACCTGAGAAGAAGATGTGATGATTATGCGTATAATTAATTATGATTATGCGCATAATTAACTGGAACTTTAATGATTAAATAATGTTGTTTAAAGCTGAAGAATAAAGAAAGGGTAAATTTGAGGTTATACACTCAAGAATAAAATCGTTTTTTGATACAAGGGTTACAGCAATAGTGCTTACTTTTATATACAATTTCTTCTCGCATTGCAAACATTGAGGCTGCATTGATGTTTTGAGACCTGAAATTAAAAACTGATATTTAGTCAAATGGATGATGCTACGGTGAAACTTTCCAAGGATGCATCTTAGTAAAAAATTAATTCAATTGGAACAGACTTAATTTCTTTAAAATGTATATATATACGTGCGGACAGTGTATTCGTGACAGTGTATTCGTGAGTCATCGAAAGAATCAAACTATCGGTGGCATGCTTGTACACAATAAGTACCGTGCCAGTGGAACTTTAAACTGTGATAATGAGAGAGAAACAACTGCAAGCCAGATCCAGGAACCAGACTCCGAAAGTCTAAGGGCGGTTCCCGGGGCTGTCGACCCAGGGTGCCATGCTTGTGGTAAATGTTATGTTTGTAAGCAAAATTTCCTGTCCCCCTGTTCCAATTTTAGTAGTCACCATTCTAAACAAGTTTTCCCTATAACTAAGTATATATCTTGTCAGAGTTATAACCTCATTTATTTAATGGAGTGTAAGACTTGTAAACAGTCGTATGTCGGTTATACTACCTCAAATCTCCCTAAGAGATTCTCTAACCATAAGAGTCACATAAAGAAAGGTATAAGAAGTTGTAAATTAGTTAACCATTTTTTAGATATTGATCATGATTTAGATTTTAGTACCATAGCCTGCTATAATTCCTCACTTAGTAAGCACCTTTCTGTCATTATAGTAGACGCTTTAGTATTTGAGCCTAATATTAGTAAAGCAGACAAAGAAAAGGCTATGGAAGCTAGAGAGGGGTTCTACCAGACCCAATTGAAAACCCTTGAACGGTTTGGGGGTATGAACACCCTTGATAGTAACCATCTACTTTTTAAATCTGCCGGAGCTTAGTTTTAGTTTTAGTATATTTTGTAGATTTTATTTAGTTATACCATTATTCCAGAGACGTGCATATTACATTTTTTACTTAAGTATAAATTTTACAGGTTTTTGTTGTGATTTTAAGCTTGATTTTCCGAGAATCAGTTATCGGTATTTAGATAAGAGATAAGATAAGAGTACATTTGTAACGGCTTTCAGTTTCTTTTTTAAATTTCAATTCATCAGATTTTCCCACTGCTTTTAGTTTGTATTTATTCTCAATTGTATATGATTCGTATTTGTTGTAGTTACTTTAATGATATAATTTCTCAGAATTGATGTAAATAAACGATGCAAAGACTTTCGAAGATCTAATCACAACCGCTTTCTTTTATTGTGTAGAAGTCCAGCCATGAAATATATATATACATTTTTAAGAAATTAAGTTATACATTTATAAATATTCATATCATCAAGATAAATGTTCTTAACAAACAAGCCATAACTCACCTCAAGGTTAGAGTTTGTTCAACAGGATCAACAATACTGTACTCCACAGCATATCCTCTCGCATCCCCAAAGAAGAACTTCATGAAAGATGGGACGTTCCAGTCGCTGATAATAATTCGTTTGCTGTGCAACTTCCCATCTAAATCCACATATCGTTCTATCACATCAGTGCCGTATACGGAAGATTGGAAATCATTTGGATACTTCCTCCAGAAGGCTTGGGTAACGGTTGACCAGGGGTGCTGAAGAGAAAACTGTAAAAAGCGCTCATAACGGATCTGGTTTCAGCATTTGATAAACTATCGATGAAGATTAATTTTGATGATGAAAATCTTAAAATAAATGGATACAATGAGCTTTTCATTAACAAGAAATGCGGCCGCTTTTCTTTTGTGGATGGCCGCTCAATTTCCCGATCCGTGATGGAGTATTTCATCATGTTCCATGCCACCTGGGGACCCCAGTCTTTGCTGTTTATAAGCATGCAGATATGGCGGAGTGACAGGCCGAGCGCCGCCCAGTTGATATAATTCCATATTGAATTTGAAAATCGTGTATATTTCTATGTAACCATATACCTGACACGGATCTGTGCAAAATAGTAATACTATAAACTCAAAATAATAATACTATGCTATCAATTAGTCCCTATAGCGGGATGCGCATGGTGAAATAACAATGTACTTGAACATTTCAGCACCACGCGCCAACAATTGTTAAATCAGATGATCGCGCAAAATAACTTTGCGCAGGCAGACACGTGGGCGACACCTACGCATGCAGGCACGGTCGCAAAGCTACCATATACAAAAAAAACCTCGATCGCTAACCCTTGTCCTTGACTCTTTTGTGCCTTCGGCACTTTTGAATCATGGATCAGGAAAAAATAAATAGTTAAGATCAAAACTTTGATTCCCAACAGACAATTTTGAGATATCCACCTTATCAATCTTATACCCCACCAAAACATCATAAAAAGTCATTAAATATCCAGTAAAAACACAAATTTTAAAATAGATGAGAAGTTGAACAATAACATAAAGACCATACAAGAGGTTAAGTAAACAACGAAACAAGCATTACCTGGAATGTATGAGATGATTGCCAAAACTTCATTGCTGGACCTTTGCCACAGTAACTTAATACTGGAAGTTGGGCTTATTTGCCTATTTAGAAAAATATGTGAGAGATATTTTGTGATGAAACAGCTTGGTGTGATAAAACTGCTGTCAAAGTTAAGTATAGCTAGATTGACCACTCCAATAGCGTCCTAAAAAGATAACACCGCAATATTAACATATTAAGCAGGTCTAGCAAAATTGGGGAATTCATGGGGGGGGGGGGGGGGGGGGGTTGAAAGTCAGTACACACATGTTTCATTTTGGAGACATGTAAATTTGCAGATGGTATACTGTCTGCCTGGAACCATATCAAAGATATAACACAAAACATCATGACAAATAATCACAAAACACAACACATCCCTACTTTGTGGAGGGATTCCATCGGAATCTTCCTCCCCAAACCCGGCAAAACCGACTACAACAAGGCTAAGTCATTTCGCACAATCACTCTTTCACCTGTGATGCTAAAATTACAGGAGAAAGTGATTCTTTGGCACATGCAACACGACCTCAACATAGCAAATGACATAAAAACAAACGACAATTCGGCGTTAGGAAGGGCTGCTCAACAGAAGCGGCACTTCATAAAGTTACCCACACCATTGAGCGCAGAATAGCTAAGAAGGGATATGTCCTAGGAGTTTTTCTTGACATAGAGGGCGCATTCGACAACGTCTCGTTCAAAGCTATTTCTGATGCAGTCAGGGCCACGAAAGTGGACCTAGCTACAGCGCAATGGATCATCAACATGGCCACTAATCGCTTTATCAATCTAAGTCATAAGGATAAGTCGAGAAGGGTACAGATCAGGAGAGGCTGCCCCCAAGGAGGCATTCTCTCTCCTTTTCTATGGAACCTGGTAGTCGATGATCTCCTCTCCTTTACTGCGAAGGACATACCGGGTTACCTGCAAGCCTTTGCAGATGACCTGGCTTCACTAGCAGAAGGAAATGACCTGGACATCATCTGGAACCGCACATGCAAAACCATCAATATGATAGAAAAATGGTGCCAAACCAAGGATCTATCTATCAGCGCACTCAAGACTCAGATAGTCATGTTTACCTGGAATACTAAGTGGACTTTGAGACCAATAAAAGTTGGCAACAACATTATAGGTCTCTCGAAGTTGGCTAAATTCCTAGGAGTGACATTGGACAGCAAACTCAATTTCAACGAACATATCATCAACATCACCAAAAAAGCCACGGCATCCCTCATGCAATGTCGAAGAGCTGTCGGCCCCACATGGGGTATGAGCCATAAAACTTGTAAATGGATGTTCACAGTGGTCATTCGACCCATTCTGTCCTACTGCTGTAGTATATGGATCAGGGCAATTGACACGGACTACAATGCGAGGAAGCTCAAACGTGTGCAGGCATTGGCACTGAGAATGATGTCTGGTGCCATGCCAAGTACACCCTTCCTCGCATTGAATCACCTTACTGACACCCCAGACACCATACTATTCCTGAGGGGCGAAGCAGCGAAGGGGGCAGCAAGGCTTCAAGCCTACGGCAGCCTCACTCTTGAAACTATCGCCCACAGGAAGGGAACTATCAAAAACCACACCACAATCAACAAACAATTCATGGAGGATCTCAACATACCACCTAGAGCCACAAGAGACCTCACAGCACCAACCATGATGCTGGGACGGCACTTCACCGTCACCACTCCTAGAACTAACAACACTGAATACAGAACCGCACTCCAGCACACCATCGACAACATTACCAGTGAAACGATCACCTGCTACACAGACGGGTCTCTATCAGACTCCGGAAGTGGGGCTGGGTACATCATCACGACTGACAACAACAACACCACCCTGGAAGAGAGATCATTCAAGCTCCCTGATTATTGCACTGTCTACCAGACAGAGCTCACTGCAATCATTGAAGCCTGCAAGTATCTCTCATCCTACACCAATTCACACATCATTATATGGTCTGATCCATACAAGCTATTTCCTCGCTCGCAACGAGGAGCAGAACTACTAGAGACTGTTATGACACCCATAACGCACTCGGATCGAACACCACTCTAGAGATCCGATGGATCGCAGCCCATATTGGGTTGTGGGGAAATGAAAAAGCGGATGAGCTGGCCAAGCTCGGCACGACCAGCGAACTCGTTTTGAAATGCCCAATCCCTCAATCTTACATCAAACGACAAATCGACAACAAAGTCCACAGACTGAATCAGGATATCTGGTTAACAGATGGTCCCAGACACACCAAACTAACACTTGGCCAAAAGCACAACAAAATAATCAATAATATAAACACATCACTCATCAACAATAGACAAGACTATAGACCCGCAGTCCACCTAATCACGGGCCACTGTGGCTTAAACAAACACCTCCACACCATCCGCAAATCAAGCACCAGTGCTTGTCCCATGTGCGGAGACGGAGAGGAGACAGTCACACACTTTCTTGGACAGTGCCCAGCTATTGCCCAACTAAGAGGTCAATACTTTCGGGACTACTACCTCTCGGTCAACGACATATTCGACAACCACCACATTACCACAATCGTCAACTTCACAAACCGCACCAAACGCTTAATAGTACCAGAAGAACTGGATCAGACTGGCGTAACTTAGCGCATTAACACATTACTTATGCAGCCTTGCCTAACTGATTTATAATCGCATCTGGTACCAAAGCGCGGTATTCCCATTCAGATCATTACCACCACCGTCCTCCACAATTCACACTGTTGTCCCCGACAAACCCCCCTCATCCCAGAGGTAGGCAAAGCATCTTAATGCTATCCTCTAGTGGGCTTTCTATGCCTAGCCTCTCTAAAAAAAAAAAAAAAAAAAAAATGGTATACTGTAACTACTCATTCAAGGATTCTGTCACCAAAATTAATAAATCCGATTTTAAAAAGCAACACCCCATCACCATTCAATTGCAAATATCCTAGAAACATAACGCAATAGGCAGTGGCGTAACGAAGGGCCCCGCTGACCCCGCTGTGCGCCGTCTTAGGGGGGCGCCAAATCGTCGTTTGAATGTGGGACAATTTCAATTTCTGCTCGTTTTGCTCTAGATACATACTTTTTTAGAGATTTTACCGGTGTATCCTCTAAAATCACCTAATTTGTTCAATTTTAGGGAGGGGCGCCAACAGGGGGGCGCTTTTTCGGCGGGGGCGCCAACACGCAATGTTACGCCACTGGCGATAGGTCATCAAATGTGAAATATGATCTGAAAATATGACACAAAACAGATTCTAGGAAAGGTGTATTTTAAAAGGCCAAACACAATCCATTACATTTGATCCAATCATTCAAAATATCTATAAACCATACTAAATAATCATAGTGAAGATACATTTAAATAAATAATACATAAACAACATACATAAACAGAGTTTGTGTGTAGGCAATAGTGCATATTCAGGGAAAAGCTTTCGTCTTGTCACGAAAAAGAAAATAATCAAACTTTACAAACAATCATATTGAATAATCCATCACATCATCTCGGTGACCGGTCGCGGTAGTTTGAGTGGATCTGCCACAAGAAAACAAAAATTTCAAGAAAACAAGAAAAAACACAGGGTTTGATATAATGCTTGCTTGAATCTTGAAAATACCTTTTCAGCATTTTTCATTGCAACAGAGAATTCTTGTACCGATCCAGCACATAAGCAGAACATCTTATCGCTTTAGAGTCAGTAGCTAGTTCTATCTAATCGGTATTTCAATATTATTGTAAAAATTAGTATACCCTTCTAAAGCATCTAAAACCTTCAGCTGACAGTCTTTTACGTCATAGACTTCTCCGATAATTCGACTTTCGACACCTTTTGCTCCCAGAAGAAAGAGGGTATTGAACCTTGGGGCAACAATAAGGGGGTACTTGTTTTTACTATCGGACTACTTAAAACTTACACTGAAATGAATGAAATCGGGGGAATAACAAATCATTTTTTAAAATGGTTTATTCATGTTATTAAATCAAAATATATCGCAAATCGATATGTTTTAAAAACTACAGAACTACTCCAATGTATGTGTATCAGAAGGTACCTTGAATCGTTAACGGGTGATACTCGTAAAAATTCTGTTCCATATATTGGACCGTCGACGAGTCCAACTCGGCGCGCGTCCTGGTAGGTTGTAAACCTACAAGAAGAAAGCGCGGCGCGCGCTACTTCGAAGAAATTTAGACGAGTAACATCCTAGTTTGTAGTTGTCGTCAAGTTGGACTCGTCGACGGTCCTTTGGAACAAATGTTTTACGAGTATCACCTGTTAACTCAGTACTGGCCGGCCGTTTTAACGATGTAAAAGCTGCTAAGGATTGACATCGTCATTCAGCAACTGGAACTACAATCAAATAGCTGGATCAATCGTGGTGTAGGTTTCAGCTGCTTAATAAACCCCAAAGCTTTATCTAGAATTAGTATTTCACTTGTCTTGAAGAAAAACAAATACAAAATAGGTATTATCTGTTATGATTGGTTTAGCAGGGTTTTCGCGCGCGACCAAAACAATTTTGGGCGCACTAACCACCGAAATTTGCAGTTTCTACGCTAAGCGATACTCGCGGCGTACGTAGTCAGTAACCATTCGAGACCGATTTTCATATTGCCAGTGCTATTTTTATGAATAACTGGAAAATACATTTCTTCTCAATACCCCTTTTCTTGATATGAAAACTCTTGTTAATAACAATACTGTAAACTGATTGATGTCCAAGAAACAAAACAAGAATTTGTTGAAAAATAACTTTATCACTGAAATAAGTAATTCTATTCCTCAAACCACGATGAAAATTTCCGAGCAAAATTGACAAAGACTTCAAAGTTCAAACATGAACAATAAGTTCTGACAAAAATAAGGATAATGATTACATATACGATTATGATGTATAATTTATATTTATAACTTTATACAGAAATATTTACAACGAATTCTTCGTTTATGTGATAAAAAATCTAACCTTCAGTTATTACAAAATAAGGAAACACGTGCGAAATGTAATCTTATTATCTGAAGGCCGAAAAGTTCGGCCTATTTGGTTTCTTAGCTAAAGGAGGTAGTTTAACATTGCCGGCAGGCTCGCTAAACTTAGGGTTCCTGTAGATCTGAGTATGCAAAGCTTGTTTACCGTGCGGAGAGTTATGCTTGGAATGCTGGAGTGGCTCATCATCCCACTGATAAAGAACAGAATCACTTGACATGGCACTACCAGCAGTGGGAGGAGGTGGACTCTGGACTAGAGGAACTCTCTTTGAACCTTCTAGAATCTTCGTTCTCACCAACTCACGTTTCCTCTTCTCAGAAATGTGTTTCCCAAACTTCTTGGATCTCTGTGCCAGTTTCTGGGCCGTTTCCTGGTTGGAAAAACCCCACTCAGCTGCCATGGCAACGTGCCGTTTAGAAGGTGTAACATGCCGAGATGGAGGGAGAGATAACACACTGATATCAGAAACTGACCTCAAGGAATTGGCACGTGATGTCTCACGTGACCTGAGTTTGTTGAGTGGAAGCAGTGGAACAGGACCCTGGGACATGTCCGTGATGCTGCGCTGGGGTATGGTGGAGGCGAGGGAAGAGGAGCGGGATGGAGGGAGAGGAATGTGGTGTTGGAGTGAGGAGGGGGCTGGTGTGGGGGGTAGACCCCACCCTCTGTCACATTCTGACTCGTCGAAGTCTAGAGATCCTATCTCGTCTAGATCTTCACAGTCTGACAGATCGTATACAGCTTGAGTGAGAACCTGGGCAAATGTAATCACTTAATTAATTAATTACTCTGTCGGAAACAAAATAATAACTTTCAAGCTTTCATCAATCTGGATGCAAAAATGATCAATGAGAATTGAATGATATATTTTATAAAGGAGTAAAAGCAAGTTACCTCATTCAGACGTTTTCTCAACAAATACCCCCTGTAGACAGACTGTATCTTAACAGCAGACTTGTGCTTAACCACTAATATTTCTTGTCTGCGATGTAACCATGGCAACCACTGCCATAACATGTTCCTGAAACACACAATTTGTTATCAATTTGTTAAAATATCCTTAAACCGGTTTTGTAGTAATTACGTTGTGTTCAGTGCGAGCTACATTTTAATGGGCTGTATATTCGGTTGTGACGGATATTTTTGATGCTATGAAAACTGACTACCAAAGAATACTATTACCTTCCTCCCTGTGACCACGGGCTTTCTAGTCTATATTATAATTAGAAATATTATGTCTGTATGACGTTCTAATTGGACGTATCAGGGCTACATCAGCTAATGAGTGATGTCAAATTTAAGGTTAAGACTGGATCTGGAGGAGTAATTTAAGGGTCTGCAGCTGCGAAATAATATCCACCGGTATTTTTTCGAGCTGAACATACGTCACCCTTTGAACATCCTCGATTTGCTTGAATCTCAAAAATGGCGAGCTGAAGACCAGTCTTACAGGTTTTAATCGGACGTATCAGAGCTACTTCAGCTAGTGAGTTACGAAGATAACGTGTACTAACCTAACACAGTACCCGCGCCAAACGCTCTGAATGACACGTGCAGCAACCACCATCCCCTCATACTCCTTTACCACCTCCATCCTGCTCTGTTCCACCATGTTCCTGTATCTGAGTCTGGACTTAAAGCCGCGCAACAGAGATTGTAACTTTAATATTGAAGTATCACGTGACGTCATCATATTATCACGTGACGTCATTATATTATCACGTGACTTTATATCATCGTTGTGGAAAGTATCCATAGGGACAATGGTGGAAGCTGGAGATGGCATATCACGCTGTTTTTTAGTTCCACTATCACACCGAGGTTTTTGTATCTTTTCTTGACTACTGTTAAAATCTTCCGTCACTGCCTCTTTCCGTATCTTCTTCTGTGTATCTTCATGTTTCTCCTCATGTTTCTCTTCATGTTTCTCTTCTTGTTTCTCTTCTCGTTTCTCTTCTCGTTTCTCTTCTCGTGTCTCTTCATGTTTCTCTTTTCGTTTCTCTTCTCGTTTAGTTTCAACAGTTGTATCAGCAGATGGGCTGATGTCAACCAGCGTGTTGCTAACTATGTGATGTCGGAGCTTCTTGGCTTGTTCCTGCCGCTCTGTGACGTACTCGCACTGCAATTAGTAACTGTAATTAGTAACTGTAATGAGTTACTGTAATTAGTAACTATTTGTAAAGCCATCTTTAAAGCTTGTGCCATCTGAATGATATTTTTTATTATACATATTATAATGAACAATATACAGATTATTTAAAAAACTATTTTCATTGTCACAGAATAGCTGACCGATTTAAATTCGACGCTATATTAGCGACAAGAGAAACGCCATTGTCGGACATGAGGAATCCTGAAACTACATATTTTAACTAATTAAACATATTCCTTTTGTAACGTCCTCAATAAGTGTAATATATATTTTGTAGTGTATATACGAGAGAATATACCTTGTCCAATATCATGGTAGTAGAATCCACCAGGGATTGTAGTCCTAATTGTTCCTGAATTCTCAAGAAGGATTGTACTAACACCGACTCGGGTACCGGTGAGGTTTTAATTGACTCAACGTAATCTGGAATTATTATTAATTATATCAATTAATTATTGTAATTGTAAATTATTGTTTGTTGATTGTTAATGATTATTAAAATAAATTAGAGGATTCCAGAATAAGACGGTGATTGCAAATCTTATATCGACATTTAAAATTAAGATTTCTATGTTTTTTGTGCAACGAAAAATATGAACATAATAATATGTAATATGTAGACTATTTTCCAAATCAGTCACATAATTAGTTAATTACAATATGAACTAGTTAAACGATTAACTAATTATAATCACTAACTATTAACTAATTAAGTGATTAAATAATTGTAATATTTAACTACTTAACCGATTAATTAAATATAATTAATAACTACTTAACGGATGAATTAACTAATTACAATTACCATTAACGATATCCTGGCTAAGCTCGGTACCGTCACACACTGCCTCTCTCAGCTGGCAGAACTGTAAACTTCCCGTAAACTCCTGAAATGGTAGTCACGTGATAAAATATAGTCACGTGATCAAATATAGTCACGTGATAAAATATAGTCACGTGATAAAATATAGTCACGTGAAAAGGTAGTCACGTGATCAAATATAGTCACGTGATCAAATATAGTCACGTGAAATGGTAGTCCCGTGATTAAATATAGTCACGTGAAATGGTAGTCAGGTGATCAAATATAGTCACGTGATCAAATATAATCACGTGAAAAGGTAGTCACGTGATAAATAAGTCGTTTTTGAAAATGTACCATGAAACGGCACTCTTGTGATACGATATTTACGCGAATTAATTCGTTTAATTCTCTTGATTTTCACCATAATCTCAGGAAACTACTTAACAAGACTGCGACGGAAAACAAGTGTATATAATATATTTACTTTACCACTTCATTCACCCCCTTGCAAAGGTGATCCCTATTTTTAAACATAATGTCTGGAACAAAAATTAAAATTAAACTGAAAGTAAAAGCGAAAGTGAAAGTGAAAGTGAGAGACCCACCGGGGTATCAAACAGCATGTTATTAGATACATCCAGCCACCGCAACAAAGGACATATCTTGTAGAGCACTGGTAAACTAGAGAGTCCGTTAGCTACAAGTTTCAGTTTCTGAAGACACGGTAACCACGACTCAGATAGCTCGTCTAACGAAGTTAAACCTGTGAAAGTGAAAGTGAAAACTGTGAAAGTGAAAGTGAAATGAAAAGGAGAGAGAAAATAAGAAAGTTATAGAATTCAAGCTGAAAATAAGAAAGTTACAGAATTGAGGTTGTCACAACCCGGTACTTGAAAGTCAAGTAACACTGTAACAGAGTTGACGAGTTGTTTAAAGGCACAATAGAACAGAACACTAGAAACTAGAACGGTACACTAGAACGGTACACTAGAAACTAGAACGGTACACTAGAACGGTACACTAGAACGGTACACTAGAACGGTACACTAGAACGGTACACTAGAACGGTACACTAGAAAGGTACAGTAGAACGGTACAGTAGAACGGTACACTAGAACGGTACAGTAGAACGGTACAGTAGAACGGTACAGTAGAACGGTACAGTAGAAAGATACAGTATAACGGTACACTAGAACGGTACACTAGAACGGTACACTAGAACGGTACAGTAGAACGGTACACTAGAACGGTACACTAGAACGGTACACTAGAACGGTACACTAGAACGGTACACTAGAACGGTACACTAGAACGGTACAATAGAACGGTACACTAGAACGGTACACTAGAACGGTACACTAGAACGGTACAGTAGAACGGTACACTAGAACGGTACACTAGAACGGTACACTAGAACAGTACACTAGAAAGGTACAGTAGAACGGTACACTAGAACGGTACACTAGAACGGTACACTAGAACGGTACAGTACCGTTAGCAGAGAGGTCGAGGGAGGTGAGGAGAATGTTGTTCTTGAGACTCGGTACATTTACCAGCTGATTGTGGGACAGGTTCAGGTATTGTAACAACCCTGAGATGTAAGAGTTACAACTTGAGGTCCAGGTATTGTAACAACCCTGAGATGTAAGAGTTACAACTTGAGGTCCAGGTATTGTAACAACCCTGAGATGTAAGAGTTACAACTTGAGGTCCAGGTATTGTAACAACCCTGAGATGTAAGAGTTACAACTTGAGGTTCAGGTATTGTAACAACCCTGAGATGTAAGAGTTACAACTTGAGGTCCAGGTATTGTAACAACCCTGAGATGTAAGAGTTACAACTTGAGGACAACGTTATTTTGCTGACTTAATAGGTACGAGTTTAAAACGGGTGTAGTAGGCTGCGAGTTCGAATAATAATAATGATATGTAATAATATCATTATAATAATATGTAATAATATCATTATAACAATATTATTAAACATTTTCATTGCATCAAAGTTTTCTCCGGATATACTGCTTCCAGTACATTGATGGCGACTTGTGTCACTCTCGCCGACCTCACTGATTGGTCACTGGTAAAAATTTCAGTAAAAACAGCGAACTTTGGGTCGCGGAAGGCTGAAATTCGAATAATATGTAATAATATCATTTTAGTAATAATATTATGTAATTATAATACTATGTAATATAATTATAATATAAAAATAACGCACCACATTTGTCTAGATGCTGTACGTTAGATAAGTTATTGTAGGAGAGGTCCAGATACACTAGGTTAGGGAGATATTGTAGTCCTCTAGTGGAAACCAGACAGTTGTGCGACAACGTCAACTGAAATTAATTAATCATTAATTAATCAGTTAATTTCATTACATTTATCATATTATATCGTTAAACCAATAATTTCAATTCTAGTTGGTAAGTTAGCTAATTGGTAAGTCTTGATGAAGATTGTTGTAGAGTTCTGTTAACCATCGTATTATTTTCTAAAGAAATTCTTCGAACTCTTTGAATTCTTCAAGTAGTGAGAACTAAGGATGCGCTGTAGAAAATTGAAACACATGGTTTCAGTGTGAATAAAATCATCCAATTATTTAAGAGTACATATTTTGTAGGTGACAGTCAAACACAGAATACTTAACAAGATACTAATAAGAAGACATTTATTAAAATTGGTATTGAGCATATGAGGAGCAATAAATTATTAAATCGTTTGAATCATTTGAATCATTTGAATTTTAACTTCTCATCCAATATTCATAAAATACTTCTAGAAAATAATCATAATCATAAACATAATAATATTAATAATTTAGTTTAATAAATAATAATGGGGTCCCTTTCTGTCTCACACAGACAATTTAAATATTTATATCAAACACCGATCAACAGTTTTCAGTCATGAGCCAATCATAGCTAATCATTAAAACATATAAGAACTTCAACCTGCAACCATAATATAATGAGTCTCAAGTAGAGACTCTCAAATCGAGACTCTCAAGTCGAGACTCTCAAATCGAGACTCTCAAGCAGAGACTCTCAAATCGAGACTCTCAAATTGAGACTCTCAAGTAGAGACTCTCAAGTAGAGACTCTCAAGTAGAGACTTTCAAATCGAGACTTTCAAATCGAGACTCTCAAATCGAGACTCTTAAGTAAAGACTCTTAAGTAAAGACTCTCGAGTAGAGACTCTCAAGTAGACACTCTCAAGTAGAGACTCTCAACCTCTTAATCATCAGCCCCCCACTGCGTATCAGGAACTTCATATTTACACACAGCAGCAAACATCGGACAACTAAACTTATCGCACAACCACTTGTTCTTAATGACCGCTAACTTTAAACTCTCCCTCTGGAAACAGCTGTTAAAGTTGGTGTGGATTGTCCTCCCCATCCCTTCGATCACTATCAGATCACAATCCATACACTCGTCTGCAATGTGCTGGCTAACCCTGCTCAGATCCAGACAGGGTGACCCTAACCCATTCTCAATCACCCTCAACTTATCGTTCTTGTGAGCCTCAACGAAAATAGGGGACATAGGTGTAATCTTGCGGATCAATAACCTCAACTCGTGAGAGGTAACATCATTAAGAGCGGGGCGACTGTTAGCTGCTAACACAACCTCACTTCCCATCCTCAACATCTCCTCCACGAAGGGAATAATCCCCAACACGATATCAGCCCCACTGTTGTCAACAAATATCATCATTTTCTGAACCGGCGCCCGTTTCAACCTCTTCACCCAATGTTCCAAGTGGTCCACAAACCAAGGTCTACCTTGAACCAGATCACATGCTCCCTGGAAGTCAATCTGCTTGGTCTCATTCATCTTGACAACAGCGGAAGAGCCCCAGTCGAAAATATTACCACCTAGAATACCCCTGATTAACTCAGCTTGCCTCTCCTCCCACGGTAACGTATGTAGAAATTCTAGCCGAGCAGGCAGTTCAAGGATAGCTGCTTCGTTCTCCTCCTGCTTGAATTTCAGGTATGGATCGTAGAAATCAAACTCTGCTAAGAACTGCTCCCTGCAGTCTAACAACGTACGGACTGTAAGGACACCGTACGCAAACGGGTTCTTCCGTAGCAGGGCTAGACATTCTAGAAACTTCTTTTTGAAGAGCATAATCCTCTTGTCAATATGGTTCCTGTTTGACTCACCGTCCCTGATAACCTTACAGAACCTCTCCAGACCGTCCTTGAAGATGTCTAACCAGTAGTGTCTGGCGTCAGTATCCAGCGCTAAATCTATCAGATCTGCCTGGTAGTCTAGTCCCTCTATCAATGGGAACTTTACCAGCGGTAAATCGAGCCTGTCAAGCTCCAGAAACTCGATCGCTTTACTCATCACATCATTCACCTCGAAACTGTCACTGAAAGCAAAGTTTTCCCCGTAGTTTTTACCAGCAAAGTCCTTAGATTCAGCCCCCTTCATGTAGGCCCCCACCGCCCCCAAGTAGCCCTCATGTCGCAGGAACAGAGCCTCCACTTTACCTTTTGACCAGTAGTTTATAGCGTATGATATGGTGTGCATGGTTGCCTTTTTGCCCCGGATAAAGAAGCCTCCGAATATAATCCTCTCGCAATTGTAGAGATTTGCGTGGAGGTAGGCGATCTGCCCGATACCATTGCTGATGAGGTGAAGTAGAGATTTAGCAATGTCAGCATCGTGTACCTGGTCTCTAGCTGGCCCAGCTATCCTAGACCGGGCTGCCTTCCCGAAACTACTAGCAACCAAGTCACCAGGCAGACCCATCGCTTCGTACGACCCCCCGTAAATATCTTTAACAAGCAGGTCTACAGTACTAGAATCCCCTTTTTCTGCCATGGCTAGCAACTCGTCAAACCCCTGAGCGTTTGTCAGAAGTGACCCAAGTCCCCAGAATGTGCCCCCACCCATAGCGGTCCCCCCTACTCGCTCGAACTTCTCATCGCTGTGAACTTTCAACATGCTGACTCCAGAGCCAATGTTGACAAGCAGGTACGGGAACTCGCACCCTGTTTTCTGGAATGTTATCTCCGGATTAGCATTCTTTTTAAAGGAGAACGCCTCATTGGGGATATTATTGAGCAGGAAATTAGCCCCCTTAACCAAACACCCCATCTCATCCTCCTTCGTGATAGTCAGCCCCAGAACCTTCTCGAACAACTCCGTGTATTTATAGGCTCCTCCCCCTGTCACCCTGATGGTACGACCTACCACCACATCAGCCTCAGCCCCCAAACAATCCTTTATATAATGAGTCAGACTCGTGATATGCTTCGTCTCAAACTTCACGAAGTGTAGTCTGCCCCTCTTAAACTCCTCGTCCAGAACAATCCCCTCCTCCACCACCCCGTCCTGGGAGACTGTCCTCCTTCTACCCGGCACATTGGAGAAGTAAGCTAGTTTTGCTAGGGAACCGCCTATGTCTATAGCGAGGTTGGAGGCTTGGCGCAGGTTGTTGAGGTGTCGCTCTGGAATGTAGATGGGGGGAGCGTATCTGTCGTCTGGGGGGCGGTGACGGTGGGACGACATTAGGTAGCTAGATGTGGGGTTGTTAGGTTAGTTCTGGTATAATAGTAAGGGGGGGGGGGGGGGGGGGGGGGACATGAACCGAAAGAAGCTGGCCGCAAATGTCGAAATTTTAATAGAATCGTAATAGAACTACATCAATAGAAAAGCAGAAAAGCTTTTCGCAAAATGAAAATGTTGAGCAAGTCGGTAACCCAATGCAGATTATTTAAAGTGTGGGTATTCAAAAAAGATAAGAAGCTGTAGCAGTGTAAATATGATAAGAAACAAAATGCAAATCCTTATCTATTCCAAATTACAATAGAGCAAGGCATTCAGGTGTTCAGTTACGAAGGATGGACAGACTCCCTAAGGGACCACTACTGCTTACCCTAACCATAGACCCTACCCTAACCATAACCCTAACCATAGACCCTAACCTAACCATAACCCTAACCATATGCATAGACCCTAACCTAACCTAACCTAACCATAACCCTAACCATAGACCCTAATCTAACCATAACCCTAACCATAGACCCTAACCTAACCATAACCCTAACCATATGCATAGACCCTAATCTAACCATAACCCTATCCCTAACCATAATCCTAACTCCATCCCATACTGGTAGTTATTAAGTGGCTCGGTCCGCTTACTTTCAATTACAGTGTATATTATTGAAGATGGACTATAATGGACTGTCATATTATCCCGATCCTGCTAAATTCCAAGACATATCCCGAGCAACACTTAGTACATCAGTATCAGTTGTTGTATCAATTATTAAAACCGAAATATACGCAACAAGCGAACAGGAAGTATCCCTGTATAAGAATGAAAAGGCACATGTTCAATACAGGATAAGTAAAACAGGCAGATTAAAGTTGCGTGAAAAGTAATTTAGTGACTGAATGGAGATATGACGAAACAGCAGATTACAGACACTTGATACTTCAAAACAGAGAAACCAACACAGAGTAACACAGAACAATACAGAGCAACACAGAGCAACACAGAGCAACACAGAGCAACACATAGCAACACAGAGCAACACAGAGCAACACAGAGCAGCACAGAGCAACCTCTGAGAATACTACAGACTGCAGACTGGGCAGGTATATTGAGGGTATAACTAGTACTACACCTGTCTAATAGTAACAAGTAAACACCAAACAGTACACTAATTAATTAGGTAGCGGTCATGTACCAGTTGTGCAATGTAAAGAATGTACGATTTGTAGGGTACAATATAGAGAGTGTATTTGAAGTGTTCAGTACACATATCTTATTCCGTTAGGCAAGCGGAAATTCTGCATAATTACATAAGGAATCAGCATAATAACATAAGTAATTATCCGCATTATATATTATGTTATATAATAGTTGTAAAGATCAACGCTGTTAACTCAAACTCACCAGTAAACAAAATAACTAAACCCAGGAAGTAAATTAAATAACTGAACTGTGGAGGTATTTATAATCAGTAGGTATTTATAATCAGTAGAATGTTTGAGCCCGAATGAGATCAGTAGAGTGTCAGTTGCGTGATTAAAATTAATGTGTGCAGTGCGCGTTATGTGTTATGTGTTATGTTTTATGTGTTATGTGTTATGTGTTGTGTGTTAAGTGTTATATGTTATGTGTTATGTGTTATGTGTTCTGTCTCAAGCTAAAAGAGAAATAGAGAAAGAGAGCGGTTTTCGATATTCGGTTTGACCGAATAGCTAGAGATTCGGTCGATTGAATATTCGGTTGATTACGGTAATCGGTTACCGAATACTGCCGAATACTGAATACTTGATAATTTGGTCAGACTATGACGAGTCCCAAATTAATCTGCAATCATAATCCAAACTCCTATAATTTATAAACAAATAGTATATGCTAATATAATGACAAATTAATTAACATTTAATTATTTTCTAACTCTGATAACTGTGTTATCAGCTATTTTCCTGATTCTCCCGACAATCCTTCTTTACAAAGTGGTGGCAACAAAGAGAACAAACCAGCCCGTTGTCATGAGCAACCTTGCCAGATAAACTTCGAGTGTACGAGGCCATATTCTCAACTTTCTAAATCTAGATTCTTTGAGGTTGAAATTGTTAAAATTGTATTATAAGTTTAAGATCCTTCCAGGGTCTAATAGCACACTATACGTTAAACATATTATAAACAGCATGTTAGCCCCCTGTACTCACGTTTACAAGATTAGAACAGGAAACAGGGCTGAGTCTTGATATGGAGTTCCTGCTGAGGTCCAACATAGCTAACCCTCCCGGAACCTTGCCTAGCTGAGATAACCCACTCTCGGTTACATCTAAACACCTGAAATTAAAAATTAAATATGAATGAATAATATGGAATAAATTATAAAAACTAAAATATAAAATGAATGATATAATAATATAAAACACTGTGGTTAGGTAGGACTATGGTTACCGCCATGTCACATCAGGGGTTATAAACCAAAACTGAGGTTCTAGGTTATAAAATGCGAAACTTATAGCAATTTAAGTGAAGTTTTTGGTATAACGAAATTTGAACCCAACATAAAACTTTCAAAAGATTTAATTTACCTTATCTGACTGTTAACAATATTGAGGAGACACCCATCACAGTGTTGTAAAGACAGCAGCTTTACAATCCCACATCCCTGATCCATAGTAACCTCACAGTTATTACAGTTCCTCATGTAAACCTCAGTACACGCTGGGTTTATGAGCGCAGTGCGCGCGTAGTTCTCAACCAAGCACCTGTTTTCCACGATCCTAGGCTCTATTTGGGGGTGCGTGGTGGAAGTGTGTCTGTTGGAACTTGCGGTGGATGGTGGGTGTGGGTGCTCGTTCCATGCCAAACTCATTTCTCTCCACTCTCTGTATTTGTCTTTAAATTCGTTGACAAAGAAATCCCAGTTTATTTGTGTTACTCGGTTTGTTTTGTTTTGTAAAGGAGTTGTACTCCGGGAAACATCGGATATTTGTCTAGCGAGTGTTACATCATCACGTAGCTTGCGCTTGCGACGGTACTCAGCCTTCGCAGCCTGGGGACTAGCTTTGGTAAGGTTAGTTATGGTGGCCTCAGTACGAGGTTTACTGAGGTCAAGCGAGGCAGTGACTCTCGGTACCGGAGGGTGTGGAGTCAGGGACATGTCTATACTGTAAGATAGTGGGTTTGTTTTGTAATGGGGATTGTGTGGACTGGGTGATTTGACTGATCCTTGTCCCCTCAAAAGCCCAGATACAGATTCCTTGGTTTCATGAACTATTGATTTTGAAGTAGGTTTGTCTGATGGAAGCAGTTCTTGGACTAGTTCAGGTGGTGGAATTTGGGTTTGCCTTGGAGGAAGGAACTCTGGATCAGGTGAAGCATCTGAAGAGAACTTTAAGTCTAACAAAGATTCGTCTTGGTTCAAAACATTTTGACCCATCAGTAGATTCGGCAAGACAGTCTCATTTCCAATGCGAGGGGAACCATCTTTAATTTGAGCAGATCCTGTTGCATTTGTTGCAGATGTTGCAAGCGTTTCAGCTGAAACACTTTTCTTTTCTTCCTTTAAAATCTTTTCATCCTCGATTGAGCGTGTAGAACATACAATCACTTTACCATATTGATCGGAGTTTTCATTTCCTATCTCCTTCCTAGTATCAGCGGACAACTCATTGGACGAGGATTTAAAGAAATTCTTTGCCTTGGTGGCGATGTTACCAAGGAAAGATGACTTACTCTTTCTATCATTATCATTCTCTGGAAGTGTGGTCGTTACTTTGTTATCGAGCACAGCGCTCTGATTGGCATTGAAATTATCGACTTTCTGGATTTTATTCATATTGTTCTGATCCGAAGGTGAGTTTTGATTTGAATCTCTTGTTAGATTGTTATTAGCACTAGAGACATCAGCGTCTTTCCTGAGGGTTTCCCGCTCTTCTTTAAATTCACCAACAAACATATTGCTAATGGCTTCGCTAGCACATTCACTGGACGAGCTTGTGTCTTTGGCCTTCGTCTGAACGATTTCAACCTCTTCTGTTTTTTTAACCACTGACACATTTTCGAGTGGGCTCCCACTGCTGTCGGTCTCATTTTCCTTTAACCAATGTAAAACTTGTGCTGACATGAGATTTGATCGCTCTTCCTCTTCCTTTATCCTAGCTCTTTCTTTCTCATCAAATTCCAACTTCATCTTCGTTTCTTCTACCTCTTTCTTCCTTATTTTCTCCAAGTGTCTTATTCTAATTTCCTCCGTCCTTTGCTCCTCCTTCTTCCTTTTTTCCTCGTCCGCTTTCCTCTGTTCAAGTTCTGCTTCCACGGCCTCCTTTTCTTTTCTGATCAGTTCTTCGTAGTATTTTAACTGCTCTTCCATCAGTTCTTCTTTTTTCTGTGCTATTCTTCTGTCAAGCTCTGCTCCGTGTTCCTTTCTCGTCCTGAAAAGAATTTGTAATGATAGCCTTAAATTTAGTATATGGATTATGGAATGTAGCTATATCATTTGAAATAAAACTCGAATAAAATTTTATAAAATATCAATTTAACTACAGATTGGTAAATTTCAGAATTTTATCTTATTGTGATAAAGTGTAACTATTCAATGGCAACATCTCAAATCCTTCTTGTCTGGATTGGAAAAAAGTCCACTGTAATAAAACCTACCCACCTCATGCCTCTAAAATGAGCTTGAATCTTGGCGGCAGATAAATTCCTCTTCCTCTGCTTTTCTTCTTCCAACCTTTTCACTTCATCCTCATGCAGTTTCTTTTCAATAAGAAGCTGCTCATTTAGTTGTTTTATTTTCAGTTCGTGTTCTTGCAACTCTTTTTGTAAAGTCTCCTCCGCTAGCCTCATTTCGTTCTCTATCTTTTTTAACTCCTCCTGAAGAATGCAACAGTCCAATATCATGATATAATATTGATTAACTTACTAGATACAAAATAACTTATTATGTTAACTTCAATTAAGGTTATGTTCAATTTTCACAAGATTTAGTACCTGCTGCAAAGCTTCAAGCCTCTTCCTGTCATTCTCTAATCGTCTGTTTTTTTCTTCCTCTTTTGTTTTTCGTTCCGCTTCCGCTTCAAGCTCTGCTTTTCTCTGTTCATCAAGTTCCGCTTGCCTTGAGACTGTAACTTCAGCATACTAAACATATTGACGAAATAAAATGGGAAATTAGAATCTCGAAAGCGGCTTTTAATTAACAATGATGACAAAACTGTGCACGAATCATAATATTCTGTCAGTTGGAAATAATTTTCACATCACGTGACTTTTTAAATTACTGATATAATATTAATAAAATGACCTTATACATAGGAAGGTCAGATTGCAGTTTGAGTTGGTCATGGTAAGTCTTTAAGTTGGGTTCGGCATATTTATGCTCTGAACTTGAGCTATCTTCCTGGTAGGAATGGTGGAATTAATTCAATTGAAAACGTTGATATCTGAGAATATCATTAAAAACTATACTACTATTATTGTATTTTTGAGAAACTATACAATTAAATTTCAGGACCTGTTTGGGTTTCAAGTTTGACTTGATTTATGGACATGAATGATAATTAAAGAAAAGTATTATAATTATAGCACATACATTGGAAGAGAAAGGTTGCTCAATTATGTCAGTAGCGTTATTCAGTATAAACTCTTCCTCCCACTCATCTTCATTTTCATCCGATTCTGTTTTGATTGTATACTGTTCTATCTAGGTAAAACCTATGTTACAATACTTCATCAAGTATCACTAGATATTCATTATCCAACTATCACTACACTTCCTATTTACTGTTACATAGTAGATAATAATAGTGATGACTCAAAAACTTAAAAAGGCAGAAATCTGTGTAAGCAATTTATTCAGCCAGGCCCAATGAACTTAATATAATACACAATTTTTATTGGAAGGAAAAATATCAATTATTGATAACGACAGCTACATAATTGAAACAATAATTGTAATCTTAATATCTATCAATATTGAAAACCTGTTTGTCAACAAGAGTTTGGCACTCTTGCAGTTCTTGCTCGACAGCTTGACTGGCGTGCTGTATGAGGGACAAGAATAATTCAGCTGAGTCAGGAAGCGAATCCTCTGTGGGAAGTTCGAAATTCTCTTGTGTGTCTGAAAATAATGTTAGTAGGCAAGCGGCAACATTAATGTCCAACAAAAAGTGCTGTCTAAAACAATGGATCATGAATCTTATTCCTAATAAAACAAGCTGTTAATATGTTTCCAATAATTTATTCAATATTGAGAGAAAAGACAATTTTTTGACAATTATCAATTATGTGTATAATGATTTATAGTACCTGAAACTAAGTTTTCATCTCCTTTGTAAGATTTTAACTGATTTAGCTTATACTCAGCCTCCTCCAAATCATCAATGGGAGTCAAACATCTCAGTTGTTTTTCTAGTTCGTTTTCAGCCCAGGCATCATCAATTTCAATTTTCATGTCATCTATATTGAAAATAAATATACGATTAACGTATCTATTAAGTGTTGGGTCTAATTCATTGATATGTATTTAAATTACATACTAAATAATTACAATTATATACATGACTAATACTAAAGATCTATCGTAAATTGTCTGATTGCCATCAGATGTTGGGTTGTCAATGCTTATATTATAACAGTCCACACAAGAAACTTGCCCTAGATATTCCCTATTTCTTAATGAATTTATTTACGCAAATCAGAGACAATTCTGCTATCTCATCCAGTGTTCAACTTATTGCGTTGGGTGATTCCACTTATTAAAAAAACTGAGGAGCTACGTCCACAGCTAACATATATATATTGGAGTCCACTGTTACACAGGGCATTGTGGAGGAGGATTTGTTTTAAAACATATAAGAGATACGAAAAGTTTGTTTTAGCAGGAGCTTTCAAAGGGCATTGTGCATTAAATCATCAATTATGTGTTGAAATTGTTGTTTTCATGTGGATTGATTGTAGTAAACCACTAGTGAAATAAGCTTCCTCACATCAACAAACGTCTGATGTGATACAAGGATATAACAAATAATTTGAGGTATGTGTAATGTTGAACGATAACTGACGACAAGTGACAAGTGACATAGCACAGACCCGAGAAGTCCTGCTTCTCCTCTCCAGACCCGAGAAGTCCTGCTTCTCCTTCCCCTCTTCACAAATCTATTAAGGGAGTCAGACCCACAAGTTCTGAACCTTTCCGGTTGGTGATTAAGTTTGATTTTTTGATAGAAACAAACCTGTTCCAGACGTGTTCCAGCCTTCGTTTTTGAGCTATTATGAGCTCAACACCTTTGACTGATTTATCTACCCCTCAGATTAACCTGATACTGAAGAAACTGCACCTGAAAGCACCTAGTGCCTATGATGCAGATGGACGAATAGAACTACTCCGATGCAGTGCTGTATTTGCTAGACACCTGTCAGGTTATGAGAATGCGGCAATATTGGGAAAGTTTGACAGAAATGGGAACTTTATAGACTTTGAAACAACTGATGAGCTAGTTAGTGGTATTTTCCCACATGTAGATGGTAAAAATACCTTAAAATACCCATGTGTTGTATGTGCGGGTGAGGTTACAGACGACCGCAATGATACTGGGTTTGGATTACACTGCAGTGGCTGTGAAAACTTTTTTCATAATAGTTGCAATGACCATCCTATAAGTGCTAAGCTTTATGATGCACTCAAAGATTCCCCTAGCTATATCAAAACATTCTGTCCACATTGTAATCATGCCATGAATGATGTTGCTACACAGCTTAGGCGTATCCAACGAAAAGTCACAAATGTAACAACCAAAGTGGACGAACACACATCGAAAATCGACAAAATCAGTGATTTAAAAAGCTACTCTTCTGCTCTTACTGGTAATAAGCTGAATATTAACAAGGCTGCAGACCAACTTGTTAAACAACTCTCCACACAAAACAAAGCTGTTAAGGTTGAAGAAACAGAGGAAAGAAACAAGAGAACTTTGTTGGTACGTAAACCTATGTCTGTTGACATCAGAGAAGTAAAGGTATAAGAAAGGCATTCAATAAAGAATACCCAGGTGTTATTATCAGGAACTGCAGGGTAACTGCTGGGGGTTCCTTCAAGATTGAACTTGATAATCCAGGGGAAACTAAAACGGTGTCAGATAATTGGAAAAGAGATCTGTTTGGTGGTAATGAAGGGGTCGTGTCACCTGATTCTTTGCACACAAGTGGGATTGTAAAACATGTTTATCTTGATGCATCAGAGGAGGATATCAAGAAATCGATCATGGATAAATATGAAGTATCCGATGTAGACTTCTTCAAAAGAAATGGAAACTTTGGCGGAACCATTAAGATGACATTCAATTCCAGAAATCATCTCTTGGAGGTTATGTCAAATAGAATTAAGATCATTGAACAAAGATTCATAGTTGAGGAGTTTAAACCGGTTCCAAGAGTAATAAAATGCAATAGATGCCAAGTATTTGGACACATAGCAAGACGCTGCCGCAGTGAAACTAGCCAATGTGGAAAGTGTGGTGATAAAGGACATGAAACTAATGTATGTGAAAGCTCGTCAAAGAAATGTGTTCACTGCAAAAAGGATGGGCATATTACTGGGGACAAATCCTGTGAAGTGATGAAGCAGAAACTGGATGAAATCAAACAAAGATCACAATATGGATTCTAATGCTTCACTTCAACACAATGGATCCACACTATCTACTAAATTTGGTTATAATTTATGTTCTATAAACATCTGTGGGATGTCTGACAGGAGTCGCTTTGCACTAGACAAGTATTGTTATGACAGTAGTATAGATATATTAGCTGTCCAGGAATCGTTCACTTCTGATGAACGCAACCTAGATCTCAAGTACATGAATTATGTAACAGATTGCAATTCATCAGCTAACAGAGGTGCAATGATATATGTCAACACACGAAAACTTTGCATAACACCATTAGTTGAAATATCAAAACAATCTAAAAACATTGACTCAGCTTGGAGCATTGTTACCGGGAAGGCATTCAGATTCATTGTAGGCTCAGTTTATCTAAAGCTCAACTATAAAGATGCTGTGAAGGACTTACTGGCTATGCTTGAAAGTGCAAAGAAGTTGTCTACCCAACTGAACGCTAAGGGAGTTATAGCTTTTGGAGACTACAATGCAAGACACCAGATGTGGGGTGATAATACTGAAAACTCTTACGGTAAGCAGATTGCAACTGAACTGAAGTTTCAAGACTATACCATTATTAGTAGTGCAGAACCAACATTCCTATCTGACAATGGAAATAGTTTGATAGACTTTATGATTACATCCACAGCAACTGAGCATCTATTTACTGATATGAAAACAGATATCGATGCAGAACTATTCTCAGGTGCTCCAATACGTGGGCATGTGCCTATTTTATCATCAATAAAAACAGCATGTGTTGAAAACTCACCAGCACCCCCTAAGATGAAAATCGACTTAAGCTCAATCGACTGGGCAAAATGGTCAGATTATATTGAGGATGATCTAATAGCAAAGAAAGCAGACTTCTTTGACAGTGATGCTACATCTCAATGGGACACCATCAACTCAACAATCCATGCAGCAACATCTAAGTTTGCAACACACAAGAAATCCACCCCACATAGCAAACCTTACTGGACAGATAGACTTACTCAAATGTCTAAAGCACTTAGAGACGCAAAGAGATTATATATGAAACGTAACACCTTGTCGAACAAAGCTGCCCTAGATCATGCCAAAGGTTTGTTTGATGAAACTAGGAAAAAAGAGTGTCAAAAGTTCATTTTAACGAAGACTAACAATCTCAATGCCTCCCAATGTACAAAGTTTTGGAAAGAATTCAATCGGATGTTTTCTAAAAAACGTGACAACAAGGTAGAGCCCTTCAAGGAAGCAAGTGGTGATCTTATCACAGATTCTAAAGACATTGAAGAAATACTATTTGATAGCTTCTTTGCAGGTAAACATTTGCTGGAAAAAGGAACAGATTTTGATGCAAAGTTCTATGAAGATGTCAACAGAATCTATAAGGAATGTCTTGAATCTAATGAAAATCTTTATAGATTTTGAAAAAGCTTTTGATAGTGTTTGGAAAAAAGGTCTCATGAAAAAGTTGTCCGACTTTGGAGTATCCGGAAGTATGTGGAGACTTATAAACAGCTTCCTCTTCAACAGAAAAGTTCATCTTGTATTCAACAACTATACTGGCTTCATTAGAGCATGTAGAGAATTTGGACTACCACAAGGTTCAGCATTGTCTCCAATTCTATTCAAATTCTTTTTGCATGACCTTGCACAGGATCTCACCCTCAACCCAGATATAGGGGTTTTCAAGTTTGCGGATGATGGAACATTAAGGGTCAGAGGTGAAACAACACACCAGTGTCTTCTCAATCTACAGATGACATGTTATGCCATCTATAAATGGAGTATAACATGGAGAATGATAATAAACTGTGATCCCGGAAAAACTGAACTAATTGGATTCGGAACTGCAGAAAACGATGAAACGCTTCTTCCATTGTCATTTCGTCTTGGTAGCAACGAGATCAAATTCGTCGAAAAGACCAAAGTACTAGGCTTGATAATGGATAGAAAGCTCACCTACATCGAGCACGCAAAGGATATTAACAGAAAGATACTTGGCCGGTGGGCTACAATATGCAAGTATACAAACCGCAACTGGGGATTCAGACAACATGTCATTGTAAGGCTAATTGAAGTTCTCATATATTCACGGATCCACTATGCTGGAACTGTCTGGATCAATAATAGAAGTATCAAAGAAATTGAAAGCGCTTGGTATAGGACTATAAAAGCAGCTTTGGGTGCAGTGTTCAATGTAAGACTAACTACAGCTGAAATGATACTTGGTGTGTTGCCACTCAACATATCAAACAAAGTGAACTCAGTGAAGCACATCCTTAAACTGAATATATTCCCGAATAAAGAGGATCCACTGAAACACCTTATTGATGACCAAATGAAATCAGGCAGTTACAGCGCACTAACTGGAAAAGTAAAAGATGTATTTCAGTTTCTATTGTGGAAATCTTCGATACTTCCTGAACACTTCACTAATGAGGATCTAAAAATCATAAATAACCATGATCTAGAAAAACTCACCAGTCTATCAATAAAAGGATGCAGCTACAGTAAATCAGTGATGAAACATTACAGTGAACAGCTTTGGCAATCGTCCATAAACAGCCAGTACCAGCTGGAAGGGTATACAGAGGCACCTACAGTGAGCGCCACAAAGCTCAAGTTTCCGCCCAAAACATCAAGGCAACTTGAAACCTTGTTTCTAAGCTTGTTCTATCCGAACAACATAATGAATGAATTTCTTCACCGCTTCAAAAGCAGTAAATTTGATTCTCCACTGTGTGATTGTAGGCGAGGGGCTCAAAATTCACTTCACCTGCTTACCGACTGTCCTGATGTACAAGCAGATAAAAGGAACAAAATGAGTGAGCTTCTTGAAAGACACCCTTTCCACAACATCAAAAACCAAGGCTATGGTGGGAACTCAATGTTGATATCATGGAGCAGACTTCGTGAGTTCTTTGATCTAGCACTGGAAATAACAAAGGATGCAGAAGAATTCCTTCGAATAGAGATAAAACTTTAAACAGTTGATTATATTCCAACTACCATAACTACACCATCCCTATGATTAGTGAGCCGGGTTCAATGTTAGACCGGACGAAGCATATATTTCATGAGCCGGGGTCAATGTTAGACCGGACGAAGATATGGCTACATCTCAACAGTGGATAACACAGCAGAGGTTCTATTACAGTTAAATTCTGTTACCTGAACTCAACTTAACAGTTCTAATATTATAGCATATACTATAATATTATGAAGATATTTTGTGTCAAAATGAGGCTGTTTAATCATTCTTACACACCAAAGGTTGTTGTGTGTTTTTTAATTAATTTATTATTGTTTAAAAGTTTATATTGAGAATTTTATACAGTAGTCTATAGACCAATTAAATTATTTACTGGTCACATATATGTGGTTTTAG